AACTTAGATTCTAGTCTTCTCTAGCATGTGTTTATTTGTAAACTCAAAGAAAACTAAAAGTCAACTATATTCTTCATGTCTACCCCTACCTTCTTCTTAGCTGCTTTCTGAGTGTGCAGGCACAATAGGGGATATTGGTCCAGAGAGAAAACTAAAAGAGGCTTTTTGCCAGGGATTGTTTTCTTCAACTATAGAGCAGCTGCAAGGCGGGTGCTTTTCCTATCTGCTCTTCATCTAACTAAAAGCCTAAGAAGTGCTTTAGCAGCTAAAACTGGGACTAGCTCTTCCACTGGGGATGGGAACTGCTCTGCCCTGCCCTGCCCTGCCCTGCCCTGCCCTGCCCTGTACCATTAAGGAAGCTAGTGTTTTCAAGTCAGACAGCAGAGGGCATAGGTGCTTTCAGACAAGAGGAAACTGTGACCCAAGGATTGCTGTTTTTTTTCTCTCCTGTTCAGTGAATGTGAGGGTAGCTGAAATTGATTCAGTGGGGACCCCAAGAAACTGCCTTGTTATAACATGCTGTCCTATAGCTGAGTTTATTGTGTTTTTAGAGTAGGTAGGAGGATGTTGCCCCCTAGGATATGTAGAGTTCTCCAGCAGACATGAGCCTCTGCTACTCCCTCCACCTTCTCTAGTTCAAGTTTTCTTTCCAGCTTCTGCCTTCTTTCAGCTCATAAACAGTGCCAAGTGAATATAATTGCTCACTGAGTCTTCTCTGGAAGCACAGTAGCAGCTGCTGCTTTCTTCATTTTTAAAACTTTGTCACTTGATAAAAGCCAGTGATATGTTTTTTCCCCAGCCTCAAGCAAGTTGAAGCTTTAGAATCTGGAGTGAATGAGATTCTAAAGGTAGAGAGTTACCTTTATTCTGTACCTTATTACTTTCTTAGACACTAGAGTAAGCGCGGCCAATCCCTCACCCACTCCTGGGGCTATGTCTAGGGATGCAGCCACCCCTGATCTATACATTGTGGAAATGATAGATAGGTCTGATCTTGTACCCAGTTTGTGTCTCCTCTTACCACAGGACTATTTGGCCTAGGCTCAGGTGGATGGGCATGCTTCAGCCCAGATCAAGGGCAACCATTTGGCTCAAGGTGATGGTGGTCCAGCACACTCCTGAGCCTATGCTTCTTTCTTCCTAACCAGGTAAATTGTCTTGAGCCCCATCCTCACCTCCCTGTTCTGGCAACCAGTGGCCTAGACCATGATGTGAAGATCTGGGCACCTACAGCTGAAGCTTCCACTGAGCTGACAGGGTTAAAAGATGTAAGTGACTAGCTGAAGTTCTTTTGTTTCTCCTTGTGCACATAACTGTTTACTGTTCGTCATCATAGGAAGGCATGACCTGCTGCTCAATCTTTTAAAGGCATTTTTCTAACACTCACCTCCACCTTCCTCTCACTGCCTCTGAACCAAAGGACAACTTTAAGTTCCTCTAGTTAGTAGGAGGATGAGGGTAGGAAGCATCTTCAGGAAAAGTTTTTCTGTGTTAAAGCCTCCATCTTCTCAGTGGCTGACCTTGGGCATCCTTTCCTAATCTAATCTAGGCACATGTTAACTTAGTAACACCTAAGGGAAGGTTTTATTGGCATAGAAGACCCCCCCCCCCCAGTGCTTGAGATTGAACCTAGGACCTTGTACATGCTAGACAAGTGGCCTATCACTGAACTACATTCTAGCCCTTAGTTTTCAGAGACAAGCTTTCACTGTATAGCTTAGGCTGCCTAATTTGTGATCTTCCTACCTCCACCTTCCAGTGCTGGGATTACAGCTATGCACATACCTGGCATCAACACCAGTCTTGTTGATCAAGTCCAGGCTCCTTATTCATTGCTATACCTGCTCCCAATCGTTTTGGGTTCCAGGTGATTAAGAAGAACAAGCGAGAACGGGATGAAGATAGCTTGCATCACACCGACCTGTTTGATAGTCACATGCTCTGGTTCCTTATGCATCACCTGAGACAGAGACGTCATCACCGGGTAAGCTTCAGGTGGAAGTGAGCTCCCAAGGACTGTGTCCTTCTTCAGAAAGCTGAAAGTTTCCATGGCACACTTCCTTCTTTAAGGAGGAATGGAGTGGTCCTGGTTGGGTGTCCCATCAACTGGCCCTTATCCCTATTAGAACTGCCAGTAAAAAGGGGTAGTATGTGCTCTTTTCCTCTGCCACCATAACTGCAGTGTTATCATCATAGAGGCAATGGTAGGAGGGTGGGGGAAGAGTTCAGAAGAAAGAACACTTGCTCAGGTGAGTCTTCTCTGTTTACTGTCATATTAGAAGAGGTCTAGCTCAGGGGTCAGCAAACTGGTAGTTTGGATTGCTGTCAGTTTTTATAAATAAAATTGTATTGGAAATGCAGCCATACTTGTTCTCTGTATTTTCTGGCTGTTTTCATAGTACAGGGACAGAGCTGAACAGTTCTAATCAGAGACCATATGACCCACAAGTCTCAAATATTTATTATCTGGCCTTTTAAGAAAAATTCTGAGCCAGGTACAGTGGTAAGCACTTGTAATTCTAGCTACTAGGGAGGCGGAGGCAGGAAGATTGAGTTCTAGGTTGCCCTCAGCTATTTAATTTTTTTTAAAAAGTTCTGCTGATGCCTGGCCTAGTCTAGATCTAACAGTCTTGTTCTTGATCCAGGGATGTTACTAACAAGATTTCCCATCCCACAGCGTTGGCGAGAACCTGGGGTTGGGGCCACAGATGCGGACTCTGATGAGTCTCCCAGTTCCTCAGACACATCGGACGAGGAGGAGGGCCCTGACCGGGTGCAGTGCATGCCATCTTGAGGCCCTGCACTTAAGAGGGGTGGGCTGGAGCTGCCAACCTGATCCTGCCTGGGCAACTCTTTCCTATTCCAGGCAAAAAACGCACTTTGGACTTTTGTTTAAATAAAAGAAAGCTATCCAAGAAGAAGGACAGACCAGAGGGGACTGAACCAGCAGAGAGCCCCTAGGAATGTGTTAAGCCCTGCTATGGGGTTCTACAGAAAGGTGCAAAGGCCTCAGCAGAAACAGCCTCTTCCCAGAGCCTTTTCTTTGAAGGGGGGAGACTGTTTTGTTAACTGGCTTAGGATAGGAAATGGGGCTTCTTTTTCTTTAACCTCCCTTGTTTGAAGGGGTTGGGGGGAGGGCGACAACTGGCTGTTCAATACCAAGGAGCCAGAGAGGAGGGTAGGAATGCCACTCTTTGGTTTAGGTTTTTCACCTTTTTTCCTTTGTGGGTTTTTGTTTTTTGTTCCCCCCCACCACCACCAAAAAAAAAAAAGTCTGATGGTTTCATTGTTTTTCGCCCCTGAGCAACCCCATCCTGGGGTCTTGTTTCTCTGGGAAGTCCTTAAGAGTCCCTAACCACCCCAGTACTTTTCTCTTCCCTTTCCACCTCACTTACTCTCTGTACTTATCAGTGTTTTGCACTTGATTACATGTCCTTCACTCTTTATCTCATCACCCTCTAAATGGGAGTCTGTGATAGAGGTTGGGGAGAAGTAGGAGGTACAGCAGTGGAAGAATAGGAAGGATGTTAACCTCTTTGTTTTAGTTTAATTGTTTGGTGGCAGCAATTTCCCTGTCCCTATCACTGTTAGAGGCCTAATTTTATATCTATAAATATATTAAAAAAGCAAGTTAAACTTGGATGTATCAAGTTAAAATTATTGTCAAAGTTTAAATACCTATATATTCTCTATGAATACAATGCAATAAAGGGACTTAAAGGAAGAATGAGTAAGAGTGATGATGTAGAAGTGCTACTGGGGTCAGCTTGTCGTTCATGCATGGCTGTCAGAGCCTAGGGCTTACCCCTGGGCTTTACAAGGCTCAAGAACAGAAGGATACTTAGTTGTGCCCTTCTCTGCCTTGGTATAGGGGTTTGAAAAACAAGGGATTCTTCTCAATTCTGCCTCAGATCTCCTACCTTTCTTAAGTCTTGTGGGAGCTCCCAGGATTGCTCTTCTAACGAGAGGGTGACCTGTTTTTAAAACATGACTAAAGTAAGACTTCAAGGATACCACTGCTGCGCTGTATACTGGTTCTGGGTATGACTGAAAGCACACTCGCCCTCTCACCTTAAGCTGCTTGATTCTTAAAGCCATTCTGCTTCACACCAGCTCCCTTCCTAATGGAAGAACAAAGGGGAAACTTCCTGGGTTGGACTTTATACCTTAGAATTGAGGGACAAACCAGTAATTCAAGGATTTATTCTGGTGACTTGGGCTTGGCCACCTGTCTTCACCACTGGTCACTGAGCATGAAAGTCCCTGTTGAATTCTTGCCCTTATATGTTTTTGCTGCATTTCTTTGCCCCTAGTAAAGATCCAGTCAGGATTTGTGCATCCTGGGAAAGTTAGAGTCTTATCAAACCAGTCCAGGAAGGAGGGGGGAAATAGAGTATGGTATTCCTCCCAACTCCTTCCTGCCTCCTTCCTAGCAGCTCAGACCAGATGTTAACTACTGTACTTCCTTCCCATCCAGGGAATGCATGGTCATGGAGTAGTCTTGTGACCTTGTTGCTAGTTGAGGTGATGAGATGGGCTGCAAACCTTGCACTCTGGAATTTGTTGTATTTTCTCTCAGTAAAGCTTTCCCCCCTGACTGCTCTGTGTGGTCTGTGGTCCATTCTTTTTTTTTTTTTGCTTTTGTTTTTTTTGGTTTTTTTTTTGTCTTTTTGAGGATGGTCCATTCATTTGTGATAGAATACTTTTGTTCCTCTCAGGATAGATGCTTATGATGCCCTCTCCCTCTGCCCGTAAAATAGTCCAGTCTGGGATATCCCTATTTCTACTGCTTGAGCTACAATTGAAGATTATTGCAAGTGAAATAGGGCCCATTCCTGTCAGTGATACTTAGGAAATGGAGTATACTATTTGGAGTGTTTCTAGGCCCTTGTTCCATGCTGTAGTGAAGGATGTAGGGAAACCATTGCTACCCTTCCCTTCCCAGCCATTCAAAGGCTCCAAAATCTTAGTGACTCACAGAAATTCTAGAATCAGTCGAATACAGTACAATCAGTCACCTTTATTCCGGGGTTAGAACAAGGCCGTGCACGCTGCAGACAAAGGAATATAGGATAGGGGCAACCTCACAGCAGCACAGAGGGTTGGGAGGGCAGGTTAGTCTTTTAAGATTTTTTTTGGGGGGGGGGGGCTTACAGAGAAACTGCTGAAAATTACCCTGTCTCTCTTCTCCCACTTCTTCCACAAAGGAAGGCTCCTTCTTGCTCTTGCTCTCATATAACATCCCAGATGAAAGGACAGTCAATTTATGTTCATTTCCTTCCTTCCAATTTCACAAATATTTTACTTTTCTTACAGGAGAAGCCAGACAGGACTAGGGAGACTTAGGAAGGTCCTTTAAGGCAAAACCGTGGAGTCTTCAAGGTGTGTGTGTTAAGGCAGGTGTCTGCAGCAGTGGCCAGAGGGGGTGGGCAGACTAGGCTGGGCTAGGAGTTGAGTCCTCTCTAACCAGTCTGGCTTCTTCCCTCTTCCTACAACCAGTCCTTCCCTCCCTCTGAAGCTCTGCCCCCACATCCTGAAAGCTCCTACCTTCAACTTTCTCTAAAAGTAGTCTCTGAGCTTGCATGTAAATTTGTTTGTTGTTGTTTTCAAAAAATGTTTTCTGTTTGGACTATGTAGCAATTTGACTCTGCCACTCCCTTTACTGTGGCATTCCCCTCCTACTCCCACTCTGGCCTAGACAATAAGTTAATGCTAGACACCACAAAAGAGGGCAGACATGGCAGTGCGGGTTTAATATACATATATGTAGAATATATATGTACACACAGTTAGCACGGTCAAGGTGGGAAAGGGCATCTTGGGACAGGTAAGAGGCTGGGTTCACTCATAGTACTCTAGTGACTTGGCTAGGAGGCATCCACGAGCCCAAGTGAGAAAGATCACCAAGTCCCTTCCTGGATTGAATTAGGGTGGTAATCAGTATAAAGAAAAACACAGTAATTAACTTCTTTCTTGCTTGGGGGATTATAAACTGGAGAGAGGGAAGGTTACCTACAATATCCATGTTGGGACCCTGTAGGTTGTAAGCAGGTTGAGGTTAAAAATCTAAGGATCTCATTCCCCAACCTCTCTAGGCTCAGGGTCAGTATATGCAACAGTCTACATGTAGGAAAAAAAGGAGTGGAAAGAGGGCCCATCTCTGCCTGCATCCCCATTTCAGGCTCAGTAGTGCATGTTCCCAGCTTAGTCTTTCCAGGACAGAAGTAGGGGCATCAATTGCTGGCTTCTCTGTGGAGTTTGATCTTTGGGGCCAGAAAAGGATCCGGTGGTTTTCTCTTTAGACCCCTGGCTCATACCCATCCTAGGCCTAGGAGAAGGGCATAAAAAGGGACCCATTGGCACTCAAGACTACAGCCTGAGGAATAGCAAGGAACTGGATTCTAGCCAGTCCAGCATGAATGTATAAACACTGTAATCTGGCTTTTCTCTGCCCCTTCCAGGTTGGGGTTAATAGCCTCTACCCTCCTTCCCCACTGCTTTTCCTTAGATCTAACCATCTTTCCCATATTTCATCTTCACCTTAGCTCCTCAGTATAGAAAAATGCATGTCCTTTCTGCTTCCATACTTTAAAGATGGGCGGAGAGGGTGTGGAGGAAAGGGAAGGAAGAGGAATGTGCCAATTTCTATCTGCATAGAAATAGCCTCCACCTCCCTCCTAGAGTGGGGACGTTAAGCCCCCCTCCCAGTCCCCTGACTCCCATCCCCTCATGAGGAGGAACTAGATGAGCTAGACATATAGACAGACAGCCAGAGCGTGCGCACACGCACACACACGCGCATAGTAAGGGGGTTAGGACCAGGTTAGTAAGTGGGTACAGGGCAGGGGGTTGCCCTTGCCCCTCCCATATAGGATGGGGAAGGGAGTGGTCTGGTGAAGGTCCAACCTTCCTCCTCTTCCTCCTTGCTCAGGCCTTCTTCGGTGGGGGAGCCAATTTGATGATCTCTTCCTCAGAGGGCTGCCGGATAATGTCTGGGAGCAAAAAAGGATGAGGGATATGTCCAGGGATGAAAGTTGTGGGAGATGCCAGGTAGGCCCATTGAGTATCAGTCAGTCCCCAAACTCATGTACTCCAAGAATGCAGTCAGAGGGAAGGGACAGAGGTATAGCTGTGCCAAAGGCATGGCCTCTTACCTTTGTACTTCTTGGCACTGGGGATACGGGTTAGCTTAGTGTCCAGCTCATCCTCCTCAGAGATTTTCAGCACACGGGTTCTGTAGTCAACCACCATAGTGAGTAGGTCAGGACGGCGGGAAATCTCAAAGATGTGCTCAATGTAGGAGAGGTTGTCTGGAGGAAAGCAGGAGAGTAGGTGAGAGCTCGAGTGTAGGTCAGCTTCTCTTAATGTCAGACTGATATTCTGGAACCAAATCTGATCTGCTTGCATTGGTTATTGGAGGGGCAAGTGTGAAAGCAGAGGGGCTAGTGTGCAAAGGTAAAACAAAGCTGAAGTAGTCACCCAGCAATCTGGCAGACTGGTGGTAGGAAGGGCAAGTGTGTCTAGGTTATAGATTGAGAACAAGGACTTTGAGTTATGTATCACATCTACACTAGGGGAAGGGACAACAGAAAAACTTCTTCCAAATTATCCCACAACCACCCCGTCTTTTTTCTATTTTCCTTCAAAGTGACTATCAGGGAGAATTCCCAAACAGCACATATAGGGCAGGAGGGAGGGTGAGATCTATAGCCAATTCAAGAGTGGTTCTGAGCCTAGTGAGAAAGGTTACTTTTATAAAGTATGGGCACAGTCAGGATGGTCTCCATGGTTCGACTAGTTCCAGGAGATTACATATGCTGTCAGATCATCTAGCCCCTGCCCCATGACTATTGGCAGCAGTCTAAATTGTAATAGTCTTCCTTCAGCCTTCCTCTCTGCTATCTACACTACAGAATAGTACATACCTGTTAGCTATAATCAGGCCTAATCTCTAGTCAAGCTAAGCCAGACTCACCAGAAGCTCTCCCACCTCTGAGACAGCAGGCCTTCAACCTTGCCTTTAAAAAATTATTTTATGTATATGTGTTTTGTATGCGTGTAATAAGTGCACCATGTGCATGCAGTGCTCAAAGAGATAAGAGGGCATCAGATCTCTTGGAGCTGAAGGATGGTTGTTTGTTAGCTGCCATGTGGGTGCTAGGAACTGAACCTGGGTCAAGAGTCAGTGATCTCAACCGCTGAGCCATGTCTCCAGCCTCCCACTTGCCTCTTGAAGTGTTCTTTTTTTTTCTTTCTTTTTAAATTATTACCATGTGTGTGAATGTGGGCATGCGTATGCAGGTCAGAAGACAACTCTGGAGTAGGTCCCTGCTCTGTGGACCCTGGGTCCTGTCATTAGACTTATTTTCCTGCCATTCCTCTGGCCCTTGGGGCAGTCTTAAATACCAATTCACGCCTAAAACTCCCAGCTGCATGCTATTTCTCTAATTCAGTGTCTCCCTCCCACCTCTAAAAAGTAGCAATCTATAAGTAGGTGAGAAAAAATCTTAGAACTGTGGTTTTAAGTTTTACCACTTTTATTTTTCATCTATTTGAGACAGTCTCCCTGTAGTCCCAGCTGGTCTGGAACACGCTGTGTAGACCAGGCTGGCCTTGATCTCCTAGAGATCCACCTGCCTCTGCCTCATGAGTGCTGGGATTAAAGGCATGCACCACCATGCCGGCTTAAATTTTACCACTTTTAAATTCCATTTTCATGATCTATTATATATGTGGTGATAGCACAGAAGTACTGAGTAAAATTTTTACTGATAAGGGCCATAAATAAAAACTAAGGACTAACTGCCCTTGAGCCCTGGATACTTAGCATCTCTCTTACCCTGCCTCCCCATAGGGTTTCACTTTGTGTAAGGTTTGTACTCATTTCTGTTTGCTGAATGAACACATCCCTTTCCCAACCTTTGTCCAGCTTGTTGTGGCTCTCCAGGAAGCTAAACCAGGCACTGCCCGTAGTGATCTCCTCACTCTTCTCACTGGGGATGTCCTCCTTGCAGGCTGACTTGAGCTGTTCCAGATCTTCAAGGGTGATGTTGTTGGTCAGGTCCTGGAGGAGAGTCCCGTACTCTGCCATGACTGGAAGTGAGAGGTAACAAAGGCAGAGGAAGCTGAGTTTAGTGTAGGGGTCTGGCTCACTTACGGCCAATAGTTACACCTCCCAACACCCCCTAACTTCCTGCCAGGGTAGCATGTGCCTAAAACATGGAGGGAAGTTTAGGAGAGTAGGCAGGTTTGGAGGGAGAAAAGGACAACCTCTGATAGATAGGAAGAAACTTGGGGAAGCTAGGAGCCAGCATGGCGCTAGAGTGACACGTCCTTACTCTCCAATACTCCCTGCCCCCCCCCCATCTTTTTCTTCTTTTTCCCTCTCTTAACAGTAACCCTGGCAACAGCTCCCTTGACTGAGGAGGCGGTTACCATGACAACCTCCTCCCGACTTTTCTGCCTATCTCCAAGTACCCTCCCAATTGCCCCACCTACCTACAACTCCTCCCCCTGTCAAAAACACTCAAAAACAATGACCAGAGAGAAACTTGCCTAGTGGTAAGAAGCTGAAAAGGAGCTGCAAGGGTGGGTGAAGCCTATGTGTTCTATGGTACATTCTTCCCCGGGAGCAGAGGGGTCTCTCACTTCATCTTCCCACCATTCCACTAATGACTCATTTTGGATGGATGCCTAGTTGCTTGGTCTGATGGCTCTCTGGCCCCTCCATGCTTAGCCTTGCATTAGGTTATTAGGGCTTTGGGTAGGGGTGAGCAGTGGGCCATCCCCACCCTTTTGGAGCCCATTTTCTCCCTTGATAGTTTACTAGGCCCCCAACTCAGCCTTCTCTCCTAGCCTTTGTGCTGTGACTGCAGCCCCCGCGCCCAAGAATACCAAGCGGCTGGCTCTGGCCCCCTGCCCAGTTCCCAGGCTGGCTGGGTAGTCGGGGGAGGGGAGTTTAGATGCAGCTTTTGGAGTCCGGCAGGAAGGGGTTGCCACCATTCTCATGTCAACATCCTCTGGTACTGCCTTCAGTCTGGCCTCCCACAGGGTCGAGGCAAGGCCAGATTTCACCTAGGCCTTCACTCCAAGCCTCTTTGATGACCCTTAGGTGAGAAAGTAGAGAACATTCAAGACCTCCCTCCATTAAAACAAGAAATGTGGTGAAGACAAAAAGGTCAGACCATAGGATGAACTTCCTTGATATGATAAAATGTAGAGCTCCAGTGGTAAACTAAAAACGGACCTAGCTAAGCATGGTGGCTCATGCCTGTTATCTCAGCACTCGGGAGATTGAGGCAGGAGAACTGCCACAAGTTTGACGTCAGCCTGGACTACATAGTAAAATCCTGTCTCAACAGGGACCTATTTTCTGCAATGAGTATACATTTTTATAATAAAAAAGTTAAAGTATTTTTTTAAAAAGTAAACTACATCAAACGCTGGCCAGACCAGAAGGTGGGCAGGAAGCTAAATGACCTTGGACCTGACTAAAGCTGCCCATGAATCACCCAACACCAGGCTGACAATGTGGCAGATCAAAGGGGGCAGATTGACACACCTCTGTTTTTCTCATTTCTGGGCTCTGTTGCAGGATAACTGAGGCAGAGCCATGGCCATTGCACAGTAAGTGTGGACCCAGAAAGCCCTATTCTCAGCCCCCTACTTCAGCCAGAATAAACAAGCCTCCCTTGGTGGCAAGCACCACAACACAAGCAGTAAGCCCAACAGCAGGGCTAGCATGATCCCAGAAGAATCAGAAACACGCTTACGTGCCCACCCAGATACAACCAGACAGAAGGGCCCAGCAGTGGGCCTGTCAGGCTGGGCCAGGGACAATGCTCTCTGTCAGCACCAGGAACCATCTCTGCCTTGAAATCTAGGTCACAGCAGCAGGCCCTGGAGCCCAACCCTGCCTCCACTGATAATCCCAGGGCAGAAAAGGGGCTGTGGGGGAGGCTCTGGAAATGAAGATAAGAGTGGGAGGGGGCTGGAAAAGAAAGCTGGGGAAGGAGACAAGACCCTGCCCCAAATGAAGCACTGGGACCAAAACCTCAACTGGAAAAGGGCACAAATAGAAGGTCATATTGCCTTGATTTCACAGGGAATGGAGTTTGTAAATATGAGAGACACTGTGGGAGGAATGTGTAGGGCCGTGTGTGTGTGTGTGTGTGTGTGTGTGTGTGTGTGAATCTCTTGGGAGGAGTTAAGATTTAGGGCTCTGGATCGAAAACATCTACAGGGGAGGTGGGCGGGAAGAGATTAATGTGTGCAACACACACACCCACAAAGGCTGGGGGCAGTGGGTGGAGCTAAGAGTAAAACATACAAGCAGGCCTTTAAGAGAAATGGGGTAGGAAAGTTCAGAGTGGTTGGGTAGAGACTGTGTGTGTCTGTGTCTCTGTGTGTGCACTGACACTGCCCCGAGAGGGTACAGGTATGTGGAGGTTAAAGTGGGTGTATTTGGATGTTCTGGTTATGGAGGTATGCACCAGCACTGAATGGTTGTGGGCTAACTGTGGTGTATGTGGGATGTGTGTGTGTACGTTGAACCAGTTGAGTATGTAAGAAAGTGTCTTAACTACAGGCTCATACATCTAGAGTGGTGAGGGGAGTCCACAGTATGGAGGAAGAGAGCTGGCCTTGGGAAAGACTGCAAATGAGGAATTGAGTGGAGAGTAAAGCAGAGTCCACAAAGTTGCAGCCTCACTTCAGCTGCTACCATAGCAACCTCTGTTCAGGGTCGTGTGGTTCCCCGCCCCCCTCCCCCAATCCCAAATCATCAGTACAATGGCACCACTGGATGGGAGGATTGCAAGGAGTGGAAGGGACAGAAAGGATAGGAATAGGTGCTCTTGAGGGAGCAATGAAGGAGAATCTAGGTGTGGCATGGCAACAGAGACAAACGCAGAGAAGTTGGGGAACTGGGGGGCATTTTTTAGGTTTCAGGGAGGTGGAATCTTCATTATATGACTTTCAGTTTTCACTGATCAGGTGTTGTCCCTAGCTGGTTTGCTTACAGTGTGGCTTGACAGAGGTTGCCTCTTTGACTCACTTTCCTCTGCAAAGATTTAGAGTTCCTGAGGGCCTAAGCAGAAGTCTTCTGCCCTACTGGCTCTGAAAAATCCTGATCTCTAGAGCAGTGCAGAGGGCTGCCCTAGGAACACCAGGCAGCCTGGGCGGAGGCCATTCTTGGGACAGGATACCGGGGCAGGAACCGGAGCTGAGGCTGCCAGGAAGTCAGTCCCCTTCCCTCCCATCTCATTCTGTGCTCTGCTCACCGCTTCCTCACACCTTCCTTCCGTCTTCCTACCTCTCCTAAGTTGGCTCTAAGCATAGCCTTGACAACTGAGGATACTGGGGAAGAGGGACAGGAAGTAAAGACCGTTAGATACTGACCTTTTAGGTAAGGATTGGGAAGCTAGCTCTCGGGGAGGAAGAGGCAAACACTTGAGGGTACTTGGAGGAACCTAGCAAAATGGATAACCACCTGTGATGAAGGGAGTGGCATCAAAATAATTTGTGAGCATTTTAACATTCATTCTTAGTATACTGATCATCCCTTTTCCCTAGCATTTGCTTCTAGATCCTCAGGAAACTTAAGGAAGCCTGAGGATTAGATGTTGCCCTTCCTCCACATCTGCTGTAACTCTGAAGGCTGAGGGGCGGGACCATTCCACACAGCTACAAGGCTCTGGAGGTCCCTACAATGGGCAGGAGATTCCCTAACATACACTGTCAGTCTTGGCTGAAGTTGAAAGTAGGAAGAAGTAATCAAAGGGAAATGGGGAGGGCTGTTATAATTTAAATGATATCTGGGCCCCAAATCCAAGCAGTATGGCAGATTGTTTCCTTTAATACCTTGACTTCTCTCCAACCTTTTATCCGGCTTTGGTTATCTCCCTACACATTCATCTTTCTTCCTGTAACAAAGGAAGAAGAGGGTGTTGCAGGGTCAGCCTGGGAGTGAGGGAAGGCAGGACACCTGGGCCCCAAAATGTACATCCAAGAAGCAAAACGGGTTGCCCCGAGCCTGGGGAGAAGCCAAGCCCTCAGCGAAGGGCCATGCCCAAGATGGAGGCAGCCAAAGATAGCTGGCACTGAATCAGGCAAGGGCAGAGAAGGCTGCGTAATGAGCGGTGAGCAGGCCCTGTGACTCTCCCTGGACCAGCTCTATTCTCTTTCCCACCTCTGTTCCTTCCTCATCTGTTCCTCTCCCTAGCCATTTAGTTTCTTTTCATACTTTCCTTTCATACTTTCCAGCTTTTCGTATCCACTCATCCCATGTTGTGGTAGCCACGAATATTTTTAAGACTTTATGACTCTGTCCCCATCTGAACACCCAGAGTTACCATAAGGATCAGATGAGCCTCCCTATTGCAAAAGACAGTAAGTATGATGGGAGAGACCGAAGCTATAATGGTTAGCTACTTACTGGCTGATGAAGATGGCCATCTTGACATTGACCATGAAGATCTGTGTATGAGGCCGTGTGGGATTCTGTGACCCTCTGCATGCATGACATTGCACGCACAGCTGCTGAGCACAGGTGTCACACAGGTGAGGAAGTAGACAACCAGGGAAGCTGGCAGCCTAGAGCATGCTGGCAGTTTCCCCATCGGAGTGTTTAACCACAAAGGGAAGAGCAATTAACACTAATCGCTCAGACAGCCTGGGGGCCAGACACACAACCTAGAGAAACAAGACACACATTCTGCGTGCTCTGCTTTCATCCTTAACTTCTGAGCCTTTAGCCTAGTCCCCAGCACTCTTCCGGTTCTTCTGGCCATCTCTGTCCCTTTCTCCACGTCTGTCTACTCACACATTCCTTTCATTCTCTCTCTCCCTCTCTGACTGGGGTTCCATCCTTGGCTGACTCATACTCATTCTTTTCTCCCTCTCCCTTGCTTTCACTCCCTCCTCCGTCTTTGGCCACACTGATGCCCAAAAGCTAGCCACTTGCAGCACCCCATGCTCCAAACTGGAGTCAGCAAGAAAGGTCACAAGAAGCCCCTTACCCAGGGAAGCGCACAGGCTCACTAGTTGTGAGGTACTGTCTACTAATACTGTCCAGAAAATCAGGGTGGGTTTGAGGACAGTGGTCCACATTCCTATTCTGTGTTAATGGCACATAGTCAAGAAGACCACATGAGGCAGTGGGTTGTGGTGGGTGGTTGGATGCCTAGTGCAGGGACGTTGGTGATTTGGTGTGTATGAGGATGGGTGTAAGTCACATGGGTGTGTGTCACTGTGCTGGCTGTCTCCTAGGTGTGCTTGTGTCCCTGTCAGTTTCGACACGGATTTTTGGAATTAATTGGGGGTTTTGTGTTAGCTGCATCATTCCTATGCACCCTGGCTCCTTCGTCCTCCCCTCTGGGCTTGCCTTCACCAAGCCCACCTCTCCCCAGACGCTGTGGGCTGAGTGTGAGAGCACAGGGTGGCACTGAGGCAGGGCTGAGACTGCTGGCGGAGGCGAGTCCGAAGCCAGACCGGGGAGGGAGGGGCGGGAGCTGGCCTGGCCGGGCCGGCTGGGCGGGAAGCAGGCTGCATCCTAATCCCCAGGCCCTGCTCGGACTCCCAAACTGCTGCTCAGCGCGGAAGAGGCGGACGAAGCCACGCTGCTTCCAGCACCCTCCCTCGCAGCGCTCGAGCCACGCCACACCGACAGAGACGGACCCCATGGGCCTGACACAGCGGACCTGTCTGGATCCTCAAGCTCCCCTATTTGTCCCCCAGCGTCCCAGATCGTCGCCGCTCCAAACCCAGACCCCCGAATCGACCTCCCCACGGCGCATCTCCCTTCCGCCCCTCTCACCGCCTCCGGAGCTGAGAGCTCAGGGCGCGGGCACTCCCGGTCCCCGGTTCCTAGGCAGCGTCTGGAGCCTCCTCCTCGGCTCCCGCCGCCGCTGCTTCTGCCGCCGCCGCCTCTTCCGCCCGCCGAGTCGAGCTGGAGCCCAGCACCGCCTCACCCCACCCGGCTGGCCAGTGATGTCAGAGCCGGGGAGGGGCGGGGGGCGGGGAGCGGTGAGGGAAGGGGGAGGGGAGGCAGGAGGGGACAGGGACGGGGCCTGGGGTTCTAGAAGGCTCCTAGAATGGAGACAGGATTGGGCCAACCTCTGGAGTAGGGGTTCCATCTCTTTCCTTTAAACTGTTAAACAACCCTCAGATTTAATTCTTTCCCAGTGGGACACTTTCTTCCCCTCTCACCTTTGAATGACTACCGTGGCTGGCACCCCTTGGAAGCACGGAATAAATTTGTATTTAGGGATTTGGAAGGCCTGTGGCCTCTGGGTTCTCTTAGTTACTTACTTTGGTATTTGGAAGATAAAAACAAACAAAACTTCCCAATCCTTATGGGTCAGGGGATCGGTATTAAAGTTTACCTACCCTGAGACTAGAAATGGGGGTGGGGGCAAGCAGTAACACAGGACCTCCTTTACTTGCCCTGGAGCCATGGATCTTTAGGATGATACCTGCTGGACCCCTGTGTTCCTCCTACCTTTCCTAATATACCACCCCCCCACACACACACCTCCCCCCCCACCATGATGTAATTTTATTTTCTGGGGAGAAAAAAGAGCCATGAGCTCAGCATGCAAATATAGACAAGTAACAAAGCCACACTTAGCCGGCTGCAGCTCTGCCCCTCTGCCCAGGCCCAGTGTGATAATTCTCACTTCCCTTCCAACTCAGGGACTTTCCTCCTCCAGATTCTCAGCCAGACTGAAAGAGGAAAGGGAGAATTGAGGAAGCATCCAGTTTTCACCCCATCTCCAGCTTAAGGGGTCTCTCATCTCAACTCTGGTGGTGTCTGGCCCCAAGAATTAGTGTTTATATACCACCAGGAACATCCCCATCTTGCTCAGTTCCAGCCTGGCAGAGACCCCAGAGCCTCAGAGGAGCACTTGCTTTCTTGGGGCTATGCTTCCTGGAGAAACAGCTTATATTCTGCTACTTAGGCCTTCTCTTTGCTCTTCTCTCCCAGCCTGCCCCCCCCCATGCCCAAGATGATAACCTGGTTAGCTCTTGATTCTGTATCTCATTTGCTCTGTGTTATAGGGCCAAAATCTATTTTGTTGATCCATCTTTGAGACTCAGGGAAACTACACAGCTTATGCATAGACATGTATTTAAATGAAACAAGTCAGACTACAAGACGCAGGGAACTTGGACTTCATACTTACTCTATTTCCTTAGACAAAGTATGTCCGTAAACCTCAGTGACTACTTTATAGGGTTCTTTTGAGAATCAGAAATAGTAAGTCTCTAGGGACTGGTACCAGATAGATGCTTTAAAAACAGGTGCAAATTATTTAGTCTGGTACCTTCCACTGACCTATACAAGACAATCAACTCAATAATATTTTTATAATATAGCCTAATACCCAACTACTTATTACTCATTAAATGTGAACAGGCTAGTTGAATGTTTGGTTTCTGTTCTATACACTTCTGCTGTCTTCTCTAAGAACACTTCCTGGATCTGTCTGTGGACCTCTTTAATCTCGGGTCTCATTTTTCCATACTTAAAAATCCTCTAAGCCTCCCAGCAATAACCTTACACTAGCTTTACGGAAACTATAATGTCAGGCCCAATGTGGTAATACATTCCTGTAATCTCAGAACACTAAGGCATGAGGATTCCCAGTTCAAAGCTAGCCTGGGCTACGAAGTGAGACCCTGTTCAGAAACAGCAGTAACAACAGAAACTTCAATATCTGTTTATTTGGAGGCTTATTCAGCAATTTGATCCCCCCCTGCTCCCAACTCTAAATGCTTATCCCTACCTCCCTCCACCCTCACCCCCCCCCCGCATATGGGCCTTCATACAAAGAGCTCCAACAGGTCCAAGTCTGGGGGGGCTGATTATCCAGTAAAGAATGCCGCTTCCTCATCCCCATGACCACCACATGGGTCAGATTATTGTAAGTTTCTGATTCTGCATTGGGCTCCTTGCCTCTGGCATCTGCATCATCTCCTTTCCCCATGTCATCCTGATCTTTGCTAGCAGCTAAAATTTTGCTCTTCCCAGTCATAGGATTCGATTCAAACACCTCTGCATCCTAGCCTCTTTATGCTTGCCAACCTCACAGCTATACCTTGAATTTCTCCCCCGTCTATCTCTGGTACCCCAAATATGACAAACACACCTTGCTAATACTTTTGGTCTTTCCATTGACTGGAATATCCCCGTCGCAACTCCTTTGCTTCCAGTCAAATCTCATTCTTCTGTTGAAGGCCTTGAAGAGGCTTGCTCTTGTACAGAATCACCAAGCCTGTTCTGATCTCTGTCTTCAAAGTCCATTCTGTTTCATTTGTTCCCTCTTTGAACAAACATTAGGGACAATTTTTTATGTGTCTGGCCCCATGGAAATAAAGAGAAAGCCTGGGTTCCTGCCCTTAGGGCACAGTAGTGTGGGTGCAGACATGGAAACGAAGAAGTATGACTAGATGTGTTGAGTACGAGAATGGAGGTGTACATAGAAAGGGCAGTGGAAACCTCAGGAGGGGGCTGCAGGAGAGGCAGAGGCTGTGGAGGCCTCACTGAGGAAGAATATTTGGGACTTAGTCTAGATGTTCAAATAAAGCTGCAGGGAGGGTACTCTCAAGAAGCAATATAACCACTTAATTATATATCGCTTTGTCTTTTTCTTCAGTTGTTTAGTGTGCTTGTCTTGATTTCTCAGTGAGGCTAATCAGCTCAAAGACAGGGAGGGACAAGCTTGGCACTCTGTGTTCTCCCAGAGCCCAACAACCGCGCTGGACAAACACCATGTGTTCAGAAAATGCTTATTGACTCGAGGCAGATAAATATTCAGGTTTCTCTGGGATAATTGCCTGGAGAGAGTGCCAACCCCCTCCTATCACAGTCCCCCCTAGCTTCTTCCTAACAAGGTACGGACATTTAAATCTCCCACCCAACGGTCACCTCCCTCCTGACATTAAGGGTGAGACTTTATCAACAGACACTTGCTCATTCTGCCCCAGATTTCTTTATTAAGGTCTTGCATTTGACCCAAATACATTAGCAAGAGATGGCTGAGATGTAACCCCGAACAGAGTTCCTCCCTTCCTCCTGGCCAGGGACAGGGCAGTCATAAAGGTGTCAAGATTTGAGTAGGGGAAGACTGTGTTGATGGAGGGGGCAGAAAAGAGATGGGGGTCCACAGATATGGCAAGAGAATCATAAGAGGAGGGAGGGATAAGAGAAACAATGGATACAGATAAGGTATAGGATAAGAAACAAGTCAGATGAAAGAGCTAGGCTGGAATCTGAGAAAAAGCAGCTCCTTTGCTCCTCAATGAGGAGGACCAGGGTCTCAAGCACCCAATATACAGACCCCAATTGGCCCTACAGAAGAGAATGACCTAGTGTCCCAGGGAGCTCAGGAAAGAGCAGGGAAGATAGGAAGGTACATGTAGAGAGCAAGTGGGGCTAGTAGGAGGTTGCTATGGCAGCTAATCATCATCGTCATCATCATCTTCATCATCATCGTCCTCCGTGTTGATCTCACCCTCCAGCACATCCTCCAGCCAGTCCTCTAGCTCCTCCGCGGAAGGCAGGTCCTCCTCGTTGTCCATCTCCATCCATATGCTGTCCGCCTAGGAGAGGGCACAGGTGGGGTATGGAAGCTAAGTTTAATCCAGGTCCAGACCTGTCCTCTCACTGCACTCTGAACATCTTTTACATCCTCTGTCCCTTCCTTTCATCCTTCAGTGGCCAGAGAAGTTGTCCAGGTGAAGGTCTGGTTAAAGTAGTGGTGGATGCAAGTGGAAATAAAAGTTGGCTTGGCTGAAGACCTCCCTTCAGTCCTCTCCCATATTACTGCCATACTGAGCTTCTGAAAGCATGTCTCTATCATGTCTGTGGCACAAAATCATGGGTGGCTTCTCATGGCCAACAGAATAAAGTCAGAGACTATAGTGTTCAAGGTTTTTCATAACATGCTTTTCTAATATGAGCTCAGTCCCAAGCTGTATTTAAAAAAAAAACAAAACAAAACCAACCAAACAAACAAAAAAACTTGCCTGTTCCCAAACCTGATATATATTTTTTAAAGATGTTCTCTTGCTTTGTAGCCTTGACTGGCTGGCCCAAGACTCACTGTGTAACCCAAGAAGCTAGTTTTGAGTAGGGGAGCCTTTGCCTCCAGAGTGCTGGCATTTCAGGTGTGTGCTACCATGCCTGGCTTTGCTTTGGACCTCTTGATCTTGCTTTATCCTCACCTTGGAGACTTTTCTTAGTCCCCATTTGTTGAACAATCTCCATTTCAGTGCTACTTTCTTTTAGACTCTACTTTGATTCAATCAGAAATCACTATCTTCTTAGCATTTTATTTCTATCATTATTATAAAATTTACCAGACCCAGCCTTGTAATTAAGTATTTGACTACTCTATCAGCCTGAGAATACAGTAAAAGCAAAGACTCAATTCACCCTAACAAATAGTTTTGAAGCATCTGCTGTGAGGTCACCAGAAGATTTCTGCCCTCAAAGTGCTCCAAATCTGAGAAAGAAAGAGGACTTAGTAGCTTTCTGAAAGTCAGCTTCTCAATGCCAGTGAGCTCCAAGGGTGCCATGGAGGGAGTCTCTCCAAAGAAAGACTTCCTGGAGGAGAAAGGATTTGAACTGGACTTTGAAGACTGGTTCCAATGAATCAGGACTGGGGTTTGTTCACTTTGAAGGCTAGTTCCAGTGAATGAGGATCAGGGTTTGCTCACATCATGCCTTCCTCCCTCACACGGATCTAGCCTTTAGACTGGAATGCCTGCTGCTTCTGGGAAGAGCTCCTTTGTAGTTAGCAGCAACATGGAAGATAAACAGCCATAGTGAGAAGAGCTGGTGCAAACAAGGAGTGACAGAAGGAAACTCACATCTGTGACGTTGACGACTCCTATTTGTGGGGCTGACAAGTCGATGTCAAATGTCTTCTCCCAGTACGGGACCAGCTGTAGAAAGAACCAAATACAACGACTTAATAATATAGGATAGGAGTGCACATGTCTAGGAGGGTCAAAGTGAGAGTCAGCCCAGTGATAAAGAAGAGGCAGGATGAGCTGGCAATAATAAGACCCAGCAGTAGGGCCACAAGACAGTGGCTAAAGCTCATCAGTGAAAGAGCAGAAACCACAAGAGAAAAGCATCAGGAAGGCCAGCTGTATCCACCAACCTCTCTTCTGAGGAAAAGTAGAACAGAAACCCTGCTCTGCTTATGATTAACCTTGTACCTCCAGGTAAATCACTTCTCCTTGGCCTTCAGTTCCTACATCTCTAAACATTAAAAAGTACTTATGCCTGGCAATCACCAACGCCCCTCATTTCTGTTTGCTCTTTCAACAGTAAGTGCTACGTGTTGGGGATTCAGCTGCAAACACATCCATCACCTGAGACATGGAATCTGCTATAATTCTCTGAGTATGCATTCGTAGACAGGTTTTTATCCAGCTGCTCACCAGAGCACTGCTTTTCTCTAGGAGTCAGCTCTGGCACAGGAGCCACCTGCCAGCCTCTGTTCTGGAAAGCATGTATTATATCCTATGCAATTCACTTCCCATCCTCTTCCCCCTTGCTAGGAAGGCCCGCTGTGACTATACTACCCATGAGTATGCAGCAAGCAAAACCTCAAAAGGTCCCCAACTAGCATGTAGGGATAGCAACTTTGAAACAAAGAAGGTGCCACAGCCCAAGTCCCCACATTAGGACACCATTGCCCCTTACCAGCGGGAAGTCATCGGGATCAATCCAGATGATGCTAAGATCGGGGTTTTCAGTGTTATCTTGGGCCACAGCCTTGAGAGTTTCTAAGAATTCATAGCCATCTTGGAGGAAACAGAAGTGAGAAATGTGAGGCAGAGTGGAAAGGGACACAGGAAGCTAACGTCCAGATCTATTTTCCCTGCCTCCCACAGCAACACGTGTCAAGCTCCAGTATGCTTGTGAACTCCTGGAATGCCTCCCATGTGAGGCCTATACTTCCACAGACATACCAGCCACCCCTGGCTTCCCCAGGCCACCCCATTATTCCTCCCTCACCAGGATCAGCTTCCTCCGCAAAGGCCACAATATGGATACCATCCAGATCATCCTCCTGTAAGAGGGTGAGAAGGAGACCAGGGTTAGGATTGGGGGAAGGGAGGAGGAGACCTTACTGTACTTCCAGCCAGGCCCCTAATGTTCCTTGAACCCAAGTCATGTGGAAAGCTGACTTCTAGAACCAGATATAGTCTCACAGTGGTGACCCTCTTCTAAATGACACCCTTTCAGCTTTTACCCCTGAGCTTGAGGCTATGCCTGGTTGTATTCGTCCACTTATGTCTGTCACCTGAGTCCTGATAGCTTTTTCAGAACAGAAAGCCTTCCCCTTGACTGGGGCACTGCTCTTCCTGGCAGAAGGCACAAGAAGGAGCGGTGAAGGCCATTTCTAGGACTTGAATTTTGTCCTGGCCGAAGTACTCACCCAGGTCTCATACATACTCTCAGGCTTCAGCTTCCTCAGGGTTGATCTAGGAGAGACGGACAGAGGGGCCCCTCTGTGAGAAGGCCATCATCTCCCTCCAGAGGGTCCCCACAGTTGAGGCCACCTCTGGGTCAGGCCTGGGGCATAGACAGCTTGTGGCCCAGAACAAAGCCATCTAGCAAATCTAAGCTCTGGGCATGAGGCCCAGATCACTGCATGGCTGCTAAACAGTGTGAATTGGGGAGGAGAGGGCTGGAAAGAGAGACTTTGGGGGGGGGCGGTAAGAACTGGATCTCAGGAGAGTCTCTCATTTATTCTTTTCATTCAATAAAATTTGTAGCCTCAGCTGGGGCCATAGCTCAGTGACAGATCACTTTCATAGCACGTGCCAGGCTCTAGGTTGACATCCCAGTATCAGGAAGGAAAAAAAAAAAAAAAAGGCTGCCTTATGTTATAAGCACTGAGTTAGGTATTAGGCAGAGGTAAACCAGACAAATGTTCTACCCCAATGAAGGGGGGCCAAAATTGAGTGGGAAACTAAGTAGTATTTAGACTGATGAGTGGGTATTTCTAGTTGTAGAGTCACATGAAGGAAAAGAATTATGTGTGAGTATAGGGCAGGGTTTCCCAAGCTCAGCACTGTTGACACCAAGGGGGAGGGAGTGTTCTGTCTTCTGTAAGATGTTTAGCAGTATCTCTGGCTTCTAGTCACTGAATGCCAGCAGCACTCCTCAGAGTCTGACTTGGAGACATTGCCTAATGGTCCCTGGAGGGCAAAATCCTTCCCCCACCTGCCATTCCCTCTACTTCAGTTGACAACTCCTAGTGTAAGGAATGAGAAGGAACATGGGGGTGAGCTATGGTTAAAATCCCAGTTTTTAGGTTTACTGCCCTGGGAACCTCTTTCACTGGAGTTGTTAAAAGAACTGAATTTAATAATAGAGACAGAAAATACCTTATGGGTCCTGGCCAGAACACAGGCGCTCAGTACTTATTTGTTGACAGATTATTTAAGTCACAATCAACCTCACAGTGTACCATATACATTTACAGAGGCCCTTCTCTGCATAGGGCTCAGGACTGAGTTCTAGGGTACAAAATATCATATAGAACTACTAGTGTATGAGTGAATACTCGTGTCCAGACGTCCATTCATCTTGAGTGGAGATTGGCTTTCAGATTAGCTGAAGTTTCCCAGGCCATCTCACAGACTGGCATTCCAGAAGAAGCCTGTCCTACTCAGACAGGTATCCTCTCCCCACCTTCTGTGTTCCTCCACAAAGTTGACAATCTCCTCTTCACTGTTGGGTTTGTCCGGGATGGTCACGGGCTCATCCATGAAGGCCTCATAGAAATCAATCTCATTCAACTTCAGGGTCAATTTCTTTGCCACCTTTGGGGAAGCAGAAGATTCAGGGTCTAATAAGAAAGGGTATTGGTGGGGGGGGGCAGTGTCAGGAAGGGAGTCAAAAAACCCGGGTCCATGTCACTGCCTCTGTGACACTGGATGAGTGTCTTCTCTGCCCTTCATTTAACATACAGGAATGGGTTAGACAATCTAAGGCCTGTCTTCCCTTCAATTCTAAAAACTACAGGGGAAGGGAAAGATAGGTTTGGAGTAGGGAATGCCAGCATGTAGCATGGGACCAGGACACCATCAATTCTAGGAGAGGAGGCTGAGGGCTATTGAGGCGTTTAGGGAGACCCATGTGGCTAAGGGGAGAGAACCTTGCTGTCGAAAGTAGCGAAGAAAGGGATGTAGGGATGAAACTCTTCAGCTGCATCTTCAAACGCTTTGTAATCTGAGGTGAGAAGAAGATATAGTCATTCTCAAGGTCTGCCAGGAAATCATTCACTTGGCCTCTCCCAGATCTCTGGTAGGTGAGCCTCAGAATAAGACCTATCCCCTCAGTCCTTTGAGAGTAAAATACAATAGAGTTGTAGAAGAGGAGATGGAATGCTGGAGGTGTTCAGGAACTCTCCAGAGTGCAGGGAGATCAGATGTTGGAGTTGATCATGCAGAAAAAAAGAAGTGGGGCAGGGAGTGTAGAGACAGACATGGAGCCACTGGAGGAAGTAGGGAGGCAGGAAGACAGGTGAGATGGGGGATCAGGGAAAGGAGGCTTGGGGACTGTTACCCACGCTCTGAGTCTTTGTTCTTGAAGTAGCCAATGAGTTTGATCTCATCCTCAATATTCTCAAATGCCTGAAGCTCTCGTTCACCCTCAATCAATTCCACGGGGTCTTCTAGGACCTGTAAGAACAGGGATATTGAGGAGACCGTTTCTCACTGGTAGGACCCAGAGAGGAATCTAGGGAAAAGGCAGGGAACCAGAAGAGGAGCTAGATACTGAAAGTAGAGGTGTGTGGTGTGTGGTGTGTGGCCTGTTGTTCATGTTAATGTGAATGTGTGTGTAGTCTGTGTGTTGTGCACTGTGTATTGTGTGTCTTCTCTCTAGCATGGGGTATATGTTTGTGATTAGTTGTGTGTGGTTTGTTTATGTGTCTGACATGTATAGTATACGATGTATTAGCATGTATGCTGCATGTTGTATGTAGCATGTGTATGTTATATGTAATGTGTGGTGTACATGAGTGTTCACTATATGCGTGTGTTTTGTATCTGGTATATTTGGTATAGGTGTATGTGATCTATGTTGTAAGATGTGTGTGGTTATGTATGTGTGGTATGTATGAATGCACGTTGCTTATGTGTTGTGTGTGGTGCATGAATTATGTGTATTGTATGTTACATGTAGTATATATGCAGTGTATATGACATGTGTTGTGTTGTGTGGCAGATGTGGGTGTAGGGTGTATTAGTAGGGACTAAGGGACAGTAGAGTCTTCAAGCAATGCTGCCAGGCTCAGGGGAATCCTCACATCAAGTAGAAACTCCACCAGAGTGTCCGCGGCAAGCTCGCCATCATACTCAATGACTTCATCTCCCTTGAACACGTAAATGCTGTCCTCTTCAGTTAGTCCTAGGGAGTGTGTGGGAGGTGAGCCATGACCCCAATCTTCCCATAAGTTCAAATTCTGGGTCACAGCCCACCTGATAACCCCACTAGACCCATCTTCCACCTTTCCCTTTTTCTGCCCCACCCACCTTCAGTACCCCCTTAGCCCCTATGTCCAGATATCCATGCCCCTTAATTTAGCTCATGAGCTAGTTTCTCATCTGAGGCGGCCAGGGAGAAGCTGGAGTAGGGGGTCAGGTAGGATCTGAGGGGAGAAACCAGAAGATAGAGATCCTAGCAATGCTGCTTCTTTGTTCTGCCCGCCATAGGCAGAGATGAATATTCCTGCTAGCTTCTCTGAAGACTCCAGCAGCAGAGTCTCTGTCCTGCGCTTTTATTTGTTATTGCTGCTGGATAACTTATTACCAACCACCCTTCCCCCATCCACATCTGGTGTCCAGCCTGTGCTGCCCCCTGGTGGCCGGGTGCTGTAACATGTAGGCAGAGCTAAAAGAGGGTGGGTAGGGGAAAGAAGCGTCGGGGAGAGTAAGGGAAAGGTTGGGGAGGAGGAGGATGAGGGAGAGGTTGGAAGAAGTCTCAGGTCTCTCTGGCCATGCCGGTATACCTTGATTTCCCCTTCCCTCCAACACCTAGCCATGTTTCTATTTTTTTCTCTTTTTTTTTAACTAATAAAAAAATGTTTAATTATTTTAGGTTAGTATACAAACTACTGTTTTTTTTTTTTAATTGTTATTTTTGGTATTTTTTGAGACAGGGTCTCCCTGTAGCTCCAGCTGGCCTAGAGGTCACTATGTAGACCAGATTGCACTGAACTCACAGAGATCCGCCTGCCTCTGCCTCCCGAGTGTGGAATTAAAGGCATGCGCCACCATGCCCGGCACTATTGGATTTTATCAAGGCGTCTTCATGCTTTTTTTTTTTTTGAGAAAGAGTTTCACTTGCAGCCCAGGCAGCTTTGAGCCCACAACCCTCCTGCTGTAGACTCCCAAGTTCGAGGATTCTTAGTGTGAGCCACCACGCCCATGTCCAGAGTAAGCTGGGTAAATATAAAGACCACTGCTCCCTCATCTCATGCTGGAATTTGAGCATGGATCTTTGCATAATAATGGGGAGGCTGGAACCCCCAGCCATCACCTTCCCAATCTCAGTATTTTCAATCACTCTCTTTTGGAATAGACGGGGTAGAAGAGCCCGGAAACCCCTCAGATCTCCCCAAAGTCCTGTGCCTGGGCCTCTCCACTCTTGCATTCCCTTTCCCTCCTTCCCCTCCCTTACCTAGTTTCTTGGCCACAGCTGTATCCTTCTCAGAGTCTACCAGCCCGAAGCCAACGCCCTTGTCTTCTAGGACTTGGGCTGCTAGCTGGAAGAAGGGGTGAGGGTTAAAATTAGCCCCTAGAATTCTGATTAAGTCCTTCCCCATTTCATGCTTTCAAACATTGACCTTGACCCTATCCCCAAACTCCCCATAAGCCCAGCCTGTCTTTGGTTCAACATTTTAAAAGATCATGACTATCTACTGCTCATTGCAATGTGTTTGATACTTCTTGGTTCCTAGGGAATGTTGAGGAGTCTCACCTTCCGTCATGAAGGGCTGGGCCCTGCCGTCCATCCAGATCAAAGGCCATGTTCAGTGTGGGGGCAATGTGGGATCCTTAAGTAAGAATTGACTCCCAAAGCAAGAATTGTGGAGGATAGGAATGGAGGAAGAGGGGGCTAGTCATGCTGTTGAGGAGTGGGCAAGTTCAGGAAGCCAAAAGTAGAGGTCACCATGCATCACCCCAAAGAGAGAGACACTGGGAGAGACTAAATAGTTCTCCCAGGCCCCATTTTCCCCTTTTGGAAAGTACTTCAGTCTTGAGGCTATGGACAGTTACATGGGAGGCCACTACCCCTGCAAACCTCTCAGCCCAGAAATCCACCCAGATTCTTTCTGTTGTGGGCATAGCTTGCAGCTTTACCTCACCCAGCACTGTGGCACCGTGATTCTTGGGGAGAAAGGGAGGTGGGTGGCAGGTGGATGGCAGAGACTACTGAGCACTCAGGATAAAAATACTTGGCTCATTAATCAGACAGCAGGTTCTAGCACCCGACAGGGACACATAGAAATGAGAGCCTTTGGGTCTGGTGTCTTATCCTGAAATGCTCCAAGCTCAGGACAAGATGGGGCCTCTCTGCACCACCAAGCCAGAGAAGGGGCCAATGAAGCTTGCACAAGGAAATTCAAACGCATCCCAGCTCCTAAAAGGGTGTGTGTGGCCACATGTCCCATATCACAAGCTTTTCCTTTTTCTTTTTACAGCAACCTTCTCTGCTTTGAGCTTGAAGTCAGATGGGGGGTAAGGAGTCTCTTCTCTCAAAGTGAAGACGAGGAAGACATTCCAAAGCCACCATAAGAATTTTCCAGTGAGGGCATCAGTTTGATCCAGTAGGGACAGATGAGGAATTGGAGAAGGAGGGATGGAGGGAAACAGACAGGCTGAGAGGCCAGTGAGAGGTCTTTAGAAGATATTTAACCATGTAGTCATGAAGTCAGAGAGAGGCAATAACATATTAATAATAAACATTTATGCTGTTTGGATATTGGGGTGCCACTCTAAATATGTGGAGAGGGACATGTTTTGGCTAGGAGAATATACTGGTGGGGTGCAGTGCAGGGCACAATACTGTACCCATTCCCCTTTCCCTCTTTCATGCCCCCCAGCCAAACCTAGTACCCCTGTCTCCTACAGCACAAAGGGGCAACCCTCCTACCGCACCCCCTCTAAAGTTACCTAATGAAGGTAGGACTTTGGCTAAGGCCACGTGCCAGTCGTATGCTGTTGGTGAAGACAGAGGCTCTACCGTGCTGCTCTTATTCCAAACCCCACCCTCAGATATCTATAAGGGCTGCGCTATAGAGGTCACAGAGGGCACTGAGCATGCTCTGCAAGCTTGCTGTCCTCTACTCACCTCTAGGATTAGCTCTTCCATCTCAAATTGTCTTTGTGAGGCCTTGTCATCCTCAGGGGGCTCATGGTAGAGAAGGGCCAGCACCTCGTACTTCTTGAACACATTCTTGTAGTTCTTTGCATTCACATTAATCACACGGTCCACACCATCGTACTCAGGGAAGTCCAGTCCTTCCTCCCCCTGGACCCCTGATTTGGGTGTCCCTAGCACCAGTAGAAACAGCAGTGCCAGTTGTAGCCTGGGCACTGCTCTGGCCCCCATCCTGTCAGTAGCGCTCATGGAGGTAGTGGGATCTGGGTCTGCTCCCCTGGTCCAGAGGAGGTAAGCTGGGATAGGGAGGGGCTCCTGGGTAAAGAATCCTGAGTTAGGGGCTCCAGGTGGGGGTGGGGTGGGGAGTGGCCCAGAGCAGTGGACAGAGGACACTGCTGGGCCCTGGAGAATCTGCCGACAGAGCCAAGAGAAAAAGGGTCAGGAGGAGGAATAGGAGCAGGGGGCGGGGAGGGAACCGGAGCTGCCCCTTGAAATTGGCACCCCTCCGTCCCCACCTGGTCCTGTCTAAATATGTCTCTGTGGTTGGCAGGAGAGATGGATAACCTTCTGAGGCCAGGACAGCTCCATGAGAGCCTGAATCCTCCCACCTCTTACACCTCTCCCCCAGGCTCCCAGCAGCTCCTTCCTTCCCCCTCCCCCAGTGCCCAGGGCTCCTCAGCCCCTGGTCCCATGCAGGCCTAAGAGCTCATCGCCATATTAAGAAAGGGAAAGGGAGAAATGCAGGATCTAAAAATAAGACCAGATGAGTCTGGGGTAAGAAAAGCTGGGGCTGGAAGAGGTAAGGAGTAGGGGTAGCGGGGATCCCAGGGTAGGGCAAGGCTAATGAGGAGGAAATGCAGGTGGACACGAGGACATACTCCAGATGAGCTCCACCTATAACAAAGGATGAAGTGAGGGAGAATGTGTATTTCCTCCCAGGGACTCATCTATAGGTGAAGTCTGTTTCTTTGATCTTGTGGAGGAAAGGGAGGTAATAAAAGTGCATTCCAGGCTCCAGGCAAGAAACCCCCTACAGTTCCCTTTAAAGAACCTGGACCAAAGATGAGATCATTCTCTGAATAGAAGATGGAGCTGAGTCCAAGACCGAGGACCTGGCTCAGCTCCAGCCAGTTTCCTTTGCTTCACTCAACAGTCCTAACTGAGGAATGTAGGGGGAAGGACAGGGCTGGCCCTATCCCATCCTGTTGGGATGTGGATTGGGGCTTTCTCTGCCTATAAGGCCCACCCTGAGGAGGGGAATGCTTCTGGGCTGCTTCCTCCTGTGAATGTTCTCTGTCCTGATCCCTTGGGACTCTGTTTCTAGGGCACAGTGGACAGGGAGGATTCCCTAGGCTGTATGATTCCAAAGACAGCTAAGAGCTACTATTTATTCCTGTCTTTCACAAGGCACAGAGGATCAGGTATAAACACTGGGGTAAAAAAATTAACATGAGGTGAACAGGAAGAGGTGGGCCCTGTGCCCAGACCCAAGGCTGTCAATTAATTCTGTGCACCTGAGACCCAAGGCAGAGCTGGGAATGTAAAAGCTGTAACTTTCCGATACTAGCTTGGAGGTGAAAATAGGTGAATTTTGCTCTGAGTACCTAGAAAGGACCCTTTTCATGGCTCTCTAAGGCTCATACTATACCATAGGTAAACTGAGGCTTGAGGGAGATGAGGGAGAGATTAAATCAAAGTCAGATTTCCTTGTCCCCAGCCCAAGATACCTCTCATTTTGGACAATGTTTATTTTGCATCCAGGCAGGGGCATGAAGTTATGTTATCAGAATAACTCTTTTCATTCCCATGGGGCAGACCTTACACAGCTAAGTAAGGCAGGCCACAGAAAAATCTTAAGAGCAAGGCAGGAATCAGTCCAAGAGGGACAGCTGTCACTGTCACAGGAGAGGCCAGAGGCCCAGGCATGGAATTAGAACTGAAGAAACCTCAGAATCCTGTCCTTGATCTCCCAGGAGAGCAACTAATGTGCCAGACAGAGCTCACGATCACTGGCTGCTGCAGAGACCAGCCAGGAGCTGTGGGCAGGCATGCCCAGAACTACAGGAGCCAGCCTTCATTTCCCAGTTCTGCAGGGTTCCAGGGAGACCTTGGAGCGCTTCCATCATGACTTCTTCCATCATGAATGGGAAGTGAGACCATGGACTCCATGGTGACCCTGGCCCCTGCCGCTCCCCGTCCCCCTGCAGTCACCACTCCCTCTGGTGGCCCTTTCTAGCTCCATTTCTACCCTCTCCATTGCCTGCACAACTGCTACCACCCAATTCTTCCCTCTCTGGTGCTTTGCTCTCTACTTTCTGCTTAGTCCCCTTCCCTGGAGGCCCCTGCTTTCAGGCCTTTGGACTTAAGGGCCTCAGCCACCCGTATCAAATGACCCTGAGTTGGGGCGTCTGTATTTTTAACCCACCAGACACTCAAAGCTCCTTGCACTGAAACTTGAGGAGCTGGCCCCTCCGTCTCCCCCTCCCCACCTCCCCACCTCACTCACATACCTCCCTGTCCCTGCCTCCATTTTCCAGGGTCTGGTTCAGCCCTGTCAGCAGCCGGGGAGGACCCCAGACTGATAGCTCTGTCCCCAAGAGACCTTGTGTTAGAAGAGGGAAGGAAAGGAAGGGAACCTCTGAGAAACAGGCCTGCAGTAGAGAGCAGCTGGCTACAGCTTCTGATGGGAGGGCCATCCCTCGGCCCGCCTATGGTTGCTCATCCTTCAGCCCCCATCACAGTCCTTCCTGCACTTCTAGCCCATTGTTTCATTTTGTTTTTAATTGTGTTTTGATCTACTTATAGACTGTAAGAATAGTCTGAAAAGTGGCTAAGGCTAAGTTTTGGAAGGAGACTGTAGTTTCTTCTATGAAATGACATGGAATGGTAGGAATATACCATTGAGGATTGCTGGTGCTATACGGCCCTTGGCCCAGTGCCAGGAACAGTGTGCAGTCAACACACGGGCTTTCTTTCTGGTGACAGCTGACAGTTTTCTTCTCGTGTTCCTCAGCCTTTCATTCTGTATACTTCTGGGCAGACAGCTCTAAAAGGTGCTCAAGAATGAACTGAGTGAGCCATGGGGCACAGCAGTGTGAAGTAGTGAGCAGAAGTGAGTTAGTGAGGAGGAAGAAGAGGTAGGAAGAACCCTAGAGAGGAGGTGGGCAGGAGAGGCCTCCTTGGTTCTTTTCACCAAGACCAGACCAGTAAAGCACCTGGGCCCAGGGCTGGGGTATAGCTCAGTGGTATAGCACTTCCCTAGCAAGCACATAGTCTCTGTTTCAATGCTGTATCAGAACAGGCTGAAGGATGGGATGGAGTCAAGATGACCTGACGACAGGATTAAAAGGCAGGGACAATCAGAGGTAGGACATTCCATACCACATGACCATCCCCAAGTCATTGGACCTTGCTGGAACTGATATCATACAGTCTCTTCTAGAACAACAACTCTGTTGCCTATGATCTAGCCTGATGAAATCCAAGGCAGGGTCTAGATGATTTGGCCCCACCAACCCCAAGTGTGGGTGTAGATATGGGATCTGTTCTTTTGTCTCCCATTATCTGTTATGAGCTAGACTTCGGGTGTATCACTTGTCCCTTGTTCCTGCAGGACATCAAAGATTGATCTTAAAAATGGTGGGAGCCCTCAGGGACAAGGATGCCTTTTTTTTTTTTTTTTTTTTTTTTCAAAATAAAAAAAAAAAAAAAAAAATCTTTTCGCTCAATAGCTGTTTTTTATGATGGCTTTTTATGTGAACTGCCGGACAATAAAAATTTTGTTTAAAAATGGGGGGGGCCCCCCGGGGAAAAGATGCCTTTTTTTTTTTTTTTTTTTTTTTCAGAGCAGAGGCTCATTATGTAGCCCTGGTTGGCCTGGAACTTGCTGTGTAGACCAGGCTAGCCTCAAACTCACAGAGATCCTTTTGCCCCTGCCTCTGAGTGCTGGTATCAAAGGCATGTGCCACCTCACTCAGCCCCAGACGCTTGATTCTAATACCTTCCCAGGTCCTTCTTGGGTTGCTGGAGGACTTCCCTTGCTTGGTTACCCTATATATAGGTAGAGGAAGGGAGCGCCACAGCAATCTCTACTCCCCCTAAATCAGAATGTGACATATGCCAGGTGAGGGCTGTTCCAAACGTTTACTCTCTGGATGGCTACTAGATGTAACAGGACTGTGCCTTCTTTGCTGGGCTTTAGCCAGCTCCCTCAACCCATTTCATCGCTTACCCATGATGCTCTTTGTCCAGACCCAGGAGTGTTTGTCTCTCTCATTCAGAGTAATTCAACCCAGTGTCTCTGCCCCCTGCTCAGCTTTATCTCAGATGTTGTGTCACACTCTGTCTTGGCTTTCGTGACACCCATGTCAGCTTCTGCTGCATTTAGTAGTATGTCTCTTTCTCCAGCCAGCCTGTGAAGAAGAGACAGAGTGAACTGGGAGAAGGTAGCAGGGGAGACACCCAGGGGAGTGAGGCAGAAGGGCGTATATAGAGAAGGTGGAAGTCCCGCCATGTGGACCATCACCCTGAGCACTGGAAGCAACAGGGTAGCCGAGTCAGGAGTTGAGGGAACAGTAAAGGGCAGACAGTGACACATGGAAAGTCAGTGGGTCTGGAGAAAACAGATGGGGTGGTAAAACTTGTGTGTGGGGGTGACCATTCAAAAGCAGGGTCCAGGATAGCCTCACCACCAGGCCGTCTACGGATGATAAGCCTTCTAATTTCATCATAGATGAAGATGATAATGCTGTAGGGGATGGCACAGAACCACCAATTTATCCTGCAGAGAGCAAGAGCTGGTCAGTGTGGCTGAAGATGCAGGGTTCACAGAAGGTTGGGTAGAGAGTGGTGCACAGGAATTTTGTGTTTCTTTTAAAATATTTTTTATATTTTATTTATTTATGTGTAGGAGTGTTTTGCCTGCAGTTATGTAAGTTCACCCATATCGTGCAATGTCTGCAGAAGTCAGAGGAGGGCATTGGATTCCCTGGAACTGGAGTTATAGATCGTTATTAGCCACCATGTGGGTGCTGGAAATTGAACCTGGATCCTCTGCAAGAGCAGCCAGTGTTCTTAACCACTGAGCCATCGCTCCAGCCCTTGTGTTTCTTTAAAAAAAAACTTTAATATTTTTATTTTATGTGTATGAGTGTATTGCCTACATGCATGTAAATGCACCTGTGTTGTACAATGTCCATGGAAGACAGAAGAGGGTTGTTGGATCCCCTGCAACTGGAGTTACAGATGGTTGTTAGTAGTCATGTGGGTGCTGGGAACAGAACCCAGGTCCTCTGTAAGACCAGTCAGTGCTCTTAATTGCTGAGTCATCTTTCCAGCCTCCCTTTGTATTTCTTTTATTGAGACTGAACTGGGTGCTGGTGTCAGTGAGTAAGATACAGTTGCTCTTACCTTTGAGGAGGACAGAGCCAGAGGGTTAAGGGATTGGTGTTGGAAAGGAGAGACACAAGACAGAAATCTAAAATGCCAACAATAATATGACATGTAGTGTTCACAGAGTTTGTTGAATGACTTTCATGGAGCTGCTGAGAGGGATCCCTGTGCTTTCTGCATACTCTAAGCCTTGCACCTATGGAAGGGGATATATACATTAATATATGTATGTATATATGTAACTCCAAAAATGCAAAATAGGCACTTTTTTCTTCTGGATCCTCTTCTATAATTAAGGACCAGGAGGATGGACTCAAGGAGTTATTCCCATGGGTGACAAAGAGAAAAGATGGCCTAATCCAATAGCGCTGTTCAATAGAAATACAATGCAAGGGCTGGGGAGATGGCTCAGTGGGTAAAGTACTTGCTGCACAAGCTTTTGCATGTAGAACACATGTAAAAGCCAGATATAGTAGAGCAGCTGCTGTAATCCTAGCCTGCCCCTCACAGGATAGGGGCAGAGACAGGATACTCTCCTGAACCTTGTAGGCCAGCTAGTCTGGTATACACAGTAGTGAACAAGTGAGACTCTGTCTCAAACAAGGTAGAAAGTGAAGGCTGACACCAGAATTGTCCCCTGACTTCCACATGTGTACCATGGCACATGTGGGTCCACACTCATACAGGAACATATGCACACCCATCAAAAGAAAAAACACAATGCAAGCCACATGTGAAACAGAGTTTTCTAATACCCATATTAAAATAAGTGAAACAGGTGGTAATTTGATTTAACCCACTATGTCCAAAATATTTCAACATGTATATAATTAATATAAACATTTTTTTTCTGAGACACAATCTTGCTATATGGCCCAAACTATCTTCAAACTTGGGATCCTCCTGCCCCAGTCTCCTGAGTACTGGAATTTCAGGTGTACACCACCATGCCAATCAATATAAACATTACCGATGAGATAGTTCACTTTCTTTTCATCCTGAATCTTGGAAATCTGGTGTGTTTCTTTCACTGATCACATATTTCGACTCAGCTACTAAATTCTCTCTCCTCTCTTTCCTCTCTGTCCCTCTGTCTGGTCTCATAACCCAGACTGGTCTTGATTTGCTATATAGTATGACCTTGAACTCCTGATTCTTCTACCTCTACCTCTCAAGTGCTGTGGTTCCAGGCATGTGCCACCATGCCCAACTTTGAGATGTTACATTTTCAATGAGCAAAAGGAAACATAGGCCAAAACAATACAGTTTTCTTTTCCTTTCCTTTTTTTTTTTTTTTTTTGATGGGGTCTTACTACATTACCAGGCTGACCTCCAATTATCTCCTACCTCAGCCTCCCAAGGAGCTGGCCTTACAGCTGTGTGCCACTATATCCAACTGAAGTTGTATTTATAGACACATATTTAATGTTGCTGTAGTTTTTAACTTTGAGTGAACTTAAACTAAAATAACAAACATAGTTTCTCATGCTCATTAGCCATACTTCAAGAGCTAAGTAGTCACATATACATAATGACTACCATATTGCTCTCTCTCTCTTTCTACACACACACACACACACACACACACACACTCCATAGATATAAACATTGATATACAAATGGCTTTCCACTCATTGAACAACAGTTATATGTAGATACTGAATCTGTGTTAGATATTAGGGAAATAAATAATTACCTGATGGTCTTTGATCTCAAGGAGTTCAGAGATGTCAGAGAAAAGACAGAAAAATGATGACAATATTAGGTGCTAGGTATTGTGTTCAAGGTATTTCCTTGGAGGAATGGAGGAATGCAGACCGTGTTCATTTACATTTGTTATTGACATTAACAGCAACAAGTGCAAAGTTGCTATTAACAAACCACCCACCATGACCTGCATGCTCAGTGCTTGAACCCTAGTTTTATATGTGATTCTCAACACTCTGCTAGATGTGATTTGTTTTTTTCAGTGCTCAGCATCAAACCCAGGGCCTCACATATCTTATTTTTTTTAATACTTTAAAAAAACTTTTATGTGTGAGTGTATTGCCTGCATGTACATGAGTGCACCTGTGTTGTACAATACTGCAGAAGTCAGAAGAGGGCTTTGGATTCCCCTGGAACTGGAGTTAAGGATGGTTTGTAGCTGCCATATGGGTGCTGGGAATTGAACTTTGGTCCTCTGCAAGAGCAGCAGTGCTCTTAACCGCTGAGCCATCATCTCTCCAGCCCCTCACATATCTTATTGTGCATGTGCTCTGCTGCTGAGGTGCATTCCCAGCCCTGTGGGATGTATACTGTTGTGACTCTACAGATGTAGCTGAGGCTCAGAATGGTTACATGTCTTCAAAGTTAAAGAATAACACACAGAATTGAGATTCAAACTTAGGACTGTCAGTACCTAAGGCTAGTACCACTGCCTCCTACGAAATGTTAATGGAACACCTACATTGTATGAAGCAGTGTGCATGATGCTGCCAGGGATGGATAGGAGCAAAGCATGTGAAGGCATGGAAATGAATCGGAGGAACACATGCTAAATCACTGACAGAGGCTGCCTACTGTAGGCATATTGTAGGGTGGGCATAGTGGCGATGGGGGAGGCATTTCTGCATTTTTCTTGGTAAATTTGAGAATTATTTTTATTTTGCAGTGCCAGGGATAGAATCTAGCACATGCTAGGCAAGCACTCCATCACTGAGCTACATCTCTTATTTCTCTACAAATTTCAAAATAAAAATTTTGGGAAACCGGGGCAGGTTGATCAGAGCTTCAAGGTCATCCTCAGCTACACAGCAAATTCAAGACTGGCCTGGGCTATATGAGACACTGTCTCAAACAACAACAACAAAAGAAAGAAAGGAAGGAAGGAAGAAAGACAGAAAAGGAAAGATTTCATAAGCATATATTAATGTTAAGACAAAACACAATAAAAGTTGAGAATTGAATAAGGAACCAAACAAAAAGAATTTCAGTATGGGGCTGGAGATATGGCTCAGCGGTTAAGAGCACTGATTTCTCTTGCAGAGGACCTGGGTTCGATTCCCAGCACCCACATGGCGGTTACGAACGGTCCTTAACTCTAGTACCAAGGGAATCCGAAGCCCTCTTCTAACCTCTGTGGCATTGCATGACATGGGTGCACTCACATACATGTAGACAATATACTCATACACATAAAATAAAAAAATAAAATATTAAAAAAGAATTTCAGTATGTTCATTCATGTATCTACACAGTAAAATATATTTGTACAAATAAAACAGAATTAAGCCAATCATAAATTTGACTTTTTGTCTTGTTTCGAGACAGAGTTTCTAATCCAGGGTGGCCTTAGACTTACTACTTAGTCAAAGATGACTCTGAATTCTGGATGCATTTGCTTCCACCTCCTCAGTACTAAGATTACAGGTGTGTGCCACTCTACCTGGTGAATTTGGCTGTTATGGTTATGTTAGTGTCCTTGCACGGCCCTATCATATGCCATCATAAAAAATTTTCCACTTGATTAAACACTGCTTAGTCTGCTGAATTTGCAAGACTAATGACTTGTGATTCCTTGGCACAGTCTCTAATATCGCCCTAAATAAAATCCATGTATTGGAGTACAAAAGACTCTCCTTCAATTACTGAGTGTGGCTCCACTATCTAGGTAGCCCCTACTTGGTAACTGTCCTGTTCAGACACACACTTCCTCCCACTTCCTCTCAAGTGCTCTCCCTCTCCTGGCATCCCTTTCCTTACTCACTTGAGTGGGTACATTCCCAGGGCCACATCCATGCCTGGAGTATAGGACAGGAAAGCTGCCAGGAATGTCTCCTCTAGGAGTCCAAACAGTAGGATCTTGTTTCTGGGAAGAAAGATTTATGAATGCAATGGAGATGGGGAAGGAAAAAGTGAGGAAATGCCTGATTGGGGCGGATGGGGGGGGCAGTTGGAAGCTCTTTGGGGCTCTCACTTCATGCCCTGCTGGAAGACTGAATTTCGGCGGGTCTTGCAGGTGATGAGATCAGCCCACAGTACAATTACAATGCTTTTGAAGAAGGCCGTGTGACATGTGAATTCCGCTACTTTCTGCTGCTCATAGGTCTGTGGTCAGGGATGAGCAAAGAGATGACAGCGGGTCAGAAAGGGGTTTGGATACACCCAAAGGTTTCTTGTCTTTCCTGCCTTTCAGGGCCCAGAGGCTGAGTTAGGCTTGCTTTCCTGGATCCTGGATTCCTCCAGCATTTTACAGATCTCTCTCAGCATTTTTCTTTCTCTTTTTTCTTTTTTTTTTTTTTTTTTTTTTTTTTTGAGACAGGATCTCCCAGTAGCTCCAGCTGGCCTGGAACTCACTATGTTAAACCAGGCTGGCCTTGAACTCACAGAGATCTGCCTGCCTCTGCCTCCCGCTTGCTGGGATTAAAGGTGTTCGCCACCACGCCCGGCTTCTCTCTCAACATTTTTCATATGGAATTGTGATTTCTTTGTGTGTTTTCCCTATGTGACTGACATTTCTGTGTCCTTTCACCATACTCAACCTATTGAATGTGGTGTAGCATGCCTCAGTATTCACTAAATTAGGAATATGATTTAAAAAAAAAAGGTGGGCTTAAGACAGCAGAGTCTAGAGGTCATAGGTCAGAAAGGAAGGTAGGGCCAGAGGGCAGTATGAGTATGGGGTGGGGTGGGAATGTCCCAAAAGGCTGGTGGATAGAAGGCTGGGGATGCAGCTCAGTGTTAAGAGTGGTTGCCTTGCCTGTCCAAGGCCCAGCAAGAATGGTAGACAGGAGGCACTCACTCATTCCACGGTTCTTTAATTTGCAGTTTGTACATAAGGGACCTGGAATCTAGTAAGAGGCATAAATACACTAACTAGGCTGGTTATATTAGGCAAGGTATAAAAGGGAAGTCAGGAGGGCCGTAGGAACACAGAAAAGGTACGCCTAAATTAGACTAGAAAAAGACTAGAGAAAAGAGCCTGTGTCTAAAAAAAATTAAAACAACATATTTATAAATAATGTATAGACAATAAGAAATTAAGGAGTAGATAAGATGGCATAATACTGAGATGGTTCATCTAAAACCACTTAGGATGTAGCCAAAGTTGTACTTGGATAAAAATAAAAAGCCTTATATGAGTAGAAACAAAGGTTAAAAATTGATGAACCAAACATTAACTTAGTACAAGGCCAGCCAGTTTGTGTGGCAGCTATCACTGACCACCACCTGTGCCGTTTCCCGTCACCGTGGAGAAATTAGCTTCTGACTCACTGCTACTCCACTTCTGCTCAGGTCTTCTTCTTCTTTTTTTGAGATTTAAATATTCATGTTGATGATCCTTTCGTTACCTTGGTTTCATAGTTCTTTTTTATCTTCTCTAATTCTGTTGTCCTCTACTCCATAAGCGGGCTGCTTGCTCCTGTAGCTAAACTTTAGATATTATGCTGTATCCTTTTCCAATACCTACAGTTTCTCTGCAATTTTAATTTCAAGCATCTTTATCTCTCCATCTCACTCTAGTATCACATGTTTTAATTCCAATACTTCTTGGTCTCCCTTTGACTAACTTGAAATGTATTGACCTGATATGTTTTATGCACAAAACACACACACACACACACACACACACACACACACACACACAAAACCCTTCTCCTCTTACCCCTAACTAGAGTAAGCTTCATAAGAATCATGACTTGATCATTTTGGTTTACTACCATATGCCCAGGTCTAGAACAGTTTCTGGTATAGATGGTAATCAGTGGGATTAATGGGGAAATTAGATGGTAAGGTGCTAGTCTTACTTTTACCATAAGTAATATACTTCCTGAGTTCTAGACAATTCTATTATAGATTATATGAAACCCTGGAAACTGTTTTTAAGCCATTTTTGTAATAGTTTATAATGTTTCAGTGTTTAGTGGAAATTAATTTTAATTTTTTTTTTTTTTTTCATTTTGAAGCAGGGTCTCCCTGTAGCCCCAGCTATCCTGGAACTCACTATGTAGGCCAGGCTGGCCTTGAACTCACAGAGATCCACCTGCCTCTGCCTCCTAAGTGCTGGGACTATAGGCGTGCGCCACCACGCCTGGCTTAATTTCTTTTTTTAAAATTTATTATTTTTATTTTATATGTATGCTTGAATTGCCTGCATGTAGGTAAGTGCATCCGTGTTGTGCAATGCCCGCGGAGGACAGAAGAGACTGTCGGATCCCCTGGGACTGGAGTTATGGACAGTTGTTAACTGCCATGTGGGTGCTGGGATTCAAACCCAGGTCGTCTGCAAGAACAGTCAGTGTTCTTAACCACTGGGCCATCTCTCCAGTCCCCTTAATTTCTTCTTTTAATTATCTTTAATCTATTATAAATAAGTTTTGTTCCACATCTTGGCTTCAGAAAGAGGTTTAGGAAGCACAACTAATAAGGGCCTGAGTTAGCTGGAGAGCTGTTGGGAGGGTAATTAGGACTTTAGGCACCACTGGCTCCTGGAGCATGGGAACACTGACATCTGATGGCCTAAGGAAGTTCAAGTGGCAGAAGTCACACATATTTAAGAAGCATCTTTCCAACAACAGATTTTAACATTTTTTTTTGAGACAGGGTCTCATATATCCTAGGCTTGCCTTCAACTCATTATGTAGCTTAGGCTGGCCTTCATCTAGTGGCGATCCTCTCGTCTCAGCTTCCCAAGTATTTGGGATTACAAGCATACACCACCACACCTGGTTGACCTCACTCTTATTAGTCACAATCCATACCCCATCCTTTCTACTTACCCACTGCTGTCCATAGCTGTCCTCCAGGTCATTTAGGTTTCTGTCATTCCAGTTCAGGCGGATACCCAGCAGATCCATAGGCTTAAAGCCATTCTCCACCAGGATCACAAAATAGGTGAAAAATCCAGCCAGAGCCTGGATCATCCCTGTCAATGACAGTCATAGAGAAGGGGAATCTGTTCAGAGAATGGTCTCCAAAGGCAGATCATAGAGGTAGTGGGGCTGGGACTTTCTTCTAGCTGGTTGGTGTGTCTGTCAGTGATTTGATCTTGTCACCTTAGAGAGACTTGTCTCCAAACCCTGACATTTGCTTCTAAACTCTATCACAGAGTAGTCACCTTTGAATCATACAACCTTATTTAAATTTTATTTTTAATTTTTAGTTATGTGTATGTGGGGGGGGGCTATGTACACTTAGGGTCAGTGCCCTCTTAGATCTTCTGCAGCTGAAATTACAGGTGGTTGTGAGCCTCTCACCATGGATGCTGGGAACTGAATTCAGGTCTTCTACAAGAACAGTATGTGCTCTTAATATCTGGGCCATCTCTTCAGCTGCTGAACCACATAATCTTACTGGACCCTCACCTGGGTATCCAGCCATTCTTCCCCAGCCAACTAGTCCAGCCTTGGAAGACAACAGAAAAATAAGGAAGAACCCAACAGAGGGATGTTTTTGGAAACCCTTGTCAAGAAATTCCAATGGATCTCATATGAACATTCGAAAATTGCCCTGTTCTTTTTTCTAGTTCCCTGTCTAGAACTTGTAATGCTAATTCCTCTTGCCTTTACTTCTTCACATCTCCTATTCATGATCCAAGGACTTTCTTTTCCCTTTAGAGACAAGAGTTATGCAATTTGGTAGTCTTTTAGATAGACCCACTCTCCAATTGCCTCACCCTGCATCCCTGTTCAGTGTGGAAGAAGCCAGAGTGATCTGTGTCCCTATTCCCTATTGGCAATTTGGGTAACCCCTTCAGAGGATGGCGTGATAAGAATAGGAGGTAGGAATTGGCTAGGCAGTTAGGGTAAAAAGACTCTGAAGAAATGTAGCCAGTTTCTGGGCTAAAAGTCAAAATGTCCTTGAGCCTGTTAGCAACACACTCTGTTCCAAAGGCCAAAACTGTCAAAATGTCGAAAGTATTTGGGAGCGTGTATCTAATCCTTAAAAGATTTTAGGGTTACCTCTTCAGAGGGGGGAATGTTGGAGGGGAGGGAGTGGGCATGGATTTGATCAAAACACCTTATATGCATATATGAAATTCTCAAAGTTTTTTTAAAAGTTAAAAAAAAACTAAAAAGGACTTTGGAAACAATTAGTTTTTCTTCTGAATTTAGTGATAGTTGGACTCTTCCTCTCTGTTTCCTTTGACATTTAAATATACAGAAAGTTTTATCCTTTCCTGATATCTCTGCTTGTTCCTTATCTTTGTCTTATTTAAGACTTCTGTATCCCCAAACCTGGACAGCTGCGATAGCTAACTAACATTCTCCTACTGACAGAACCTGTATTGTATAGGTTCCTGTGGATATAGAGCCTTACCATTCTCAGCTATCATCATAAGTGGGAACATCAAAACACAGAAGACTCAGTTATCTTCCAGGATCATAGAGGAAGTGAGCAGTAGACTCTGACTCCTAAGTCTGTGTTTTTCATATGTTTCCTCCCCTTGATGGTGGGATGATTTCTCCTGTCTCCAATCTCTTCCTTGTCCATCTCGAACCCTACTCTCTGAAATGCTCTATTTTACTGAGATAGTCAAGGACAAAGACCTTCTATGGTTCTTAAATGTTTTTCAAGGATGGCCCCAGTGTTAATGCTACTTATGTCTACTGTCTTGCTTCCTACTTCATCCTCAAGACTAAGAATACCACTGAACCAAGCTAATTACTCTTCTCTAGCCACGCTTTGTGAACTTTTCTTTGCCACGACCCTATGCTTGCCTATCTACGAACTAATCTATGCCTTATTCTTGTTTAAGTCCTGTTTCTTTCCTCAGAACTCTTTCTTCATGACTGGTGAGCTAGCACACTTTGTGCTGCTGTAGCATCTTAGGTCTAGCCTCCTTGCTTAGCATGTGGAAAGGTGCTATCATTTTATGTATGCCAGTTCCTTTTCTACTGGACTTTAAGTGAAGGGCAGATCAGAGATTGGAAGTTCTTTGTGGTCCCAGGGTCAAGCAGTTTGTTGCTGAGAAAATATCTCACTGAGACTTCTAAACAGAGGTGGCTAAATGGCCAGACAGGGCAACCACTCCCCTCTCCCTTCACCCCTCACTTCTCTGCTCACCAATCTGCCCATAGGCCATGCCAACGAGATCGTGGTTCGCCAGATTATCAGTCTTTGGGTTGTGTGGAAGCCTCTTCATGATGTCACTTTCAGCTGACTTATAAGCCAAGGAGATCGCAGGGACCTGGAGGTTGAGAATGACAGTTCCACAAAGTTCAGAAGGAATCTCAGAAGCAATTCCAGCTCTGTCCCCTTACTTGACACAGATTTTTTTCCCTGTACCTATTCTATTTTAGGAGTTCCCAGACTGGTGCTTACCATATCAGTGCCCAGGTCAATGAAGAGAGTGGTTGTGGTGCCCAGAGGCAGGGGTATACTTAAGATGATGAACAACAGGAAGGGAGTGATCTCAGGAATGTTGCTGGTCAGGGTGTATGTGATGGATTTTTTCAGGTTGTCAAAGATGCGGCGACCTGGAGAGGATAGCCAAACTTTCGTGAGAGACGATGAGAGGGCATACCTCCCACAAACTGGATCCTGGTCAGAGAGGCTGCTACAAAGACGTGCCATGGTTCATGAAAGTATTAGGAAGTCCTGGACTATGGCGGTCCTTGTTTGTAAATTGTGGGACTGTTAGAGACATGATTTATTAACATGGCCTGACTTTGTACTCACGTTTTTGGATTCCATATGGCTGGTGTTATCTGATCTTTGAAACTCAGGCAGAGTTGGACCTAGTTAATACTTGAAGTGTCTGAGAATGTCAATATTAAAGTCTTTGCAAGATTAAGGTTGAAGTGAAGAGAGCTTAATTCTTGTTACAGGCTTGGACTGAATCTCATTCTGCCCTACTTAGCTTGTGACCTTGGACTCCCCTTAGCATCACTTCTCCTGCCTTGCAAGACTGCTGATGCCATCCTTCCCTGAACTCCCTGCTTTAACATACTGTGAAATTCGCCTAGTTCATTGTTCCCATGAGAAAGTGAAGTTGCATGCAGGCAGGGATATGTGTCTTTTGTCTCCTGCATCTAGAACAATATCTTACAAATAGTGCTCAAAAGAATGTATTGAATCAATATAAAATACTGAGCAAATTGTCCAAATCATACTAGGTTTCAATAAAATGGAAATCATTCTTATGTGGGTTAGTATACTTTAGTAAGATAACTCCAGGCAGGAATCAGGGAGCCTAGTAGACAGCCTTTAGCAGTTCTCCCATTCCAATGGGCATCCTCTTCAGAATTCCCAGGAAAAGGTGTGCTTGCTTGGGTTCATGCAGTTAATTCCCAGATGGTCTCCAACTGCTGTTATTGCATCCCCATAATTCAGGCAATAAGTTCCTAGAGGGCTCTGCTGAAAATGGTGGAGTGTGGGGTTCCCAGGGCCATGGTTACTTCTTAAAATTGCTGTAGACACACTTAAATCCCAGTAAAATCAGAAAGAAGGCACGATGTTACGCCAGGGTCCCAGCCTCCCTGACAAACCTGGACAAGCCTCCAGTCTCATTTTAAAAAATAACAACCTGGGGCTGGAGAGATGGCTCAGAGGTTAAGAACACTGATTGTTCTTACAGAAGACTGGGGTTTGAATCCCAGCACCCACATGACAGCTAATAACTGTACTTACCTACATGTAGGCGTAACACTCATACACATAAAAAAATAATATAAAATATTTTTAAAAATCACCTAAGGGTTAGCAGAATATTTTTCTCATATAGCCCAGGCTAGCCTCAAACTTGCTATTGCAGTCAAGGATGACCTTGAACTCCTGATCCTCCTACCTCCACTTCCTGAGTGCTGGGAATACAGGTATTTAAAAAAATATTTTATTTATTATTTTTATTTTATGTGTATGAGTGTTATGTTTGCATGTATGTAAGTTACTTGCACCTGTGTCGTACAATGCCAGCGAAGGGCAGAAGAGGCTGTCGGATCCCCTGGAACTGGAGTTATGGGGAGTTGTTGGCTGCCATGTGGGTGCTGGGATTCGAACCCAGGTCTTCTGCAAGAACAGCCAGTGTTCTTAACCGCTGAGCCATCTTTCCAGCTCCAGAATACAGGTATTGTATGTGGTGCTGGGAATCAAATCCAGGGCTTTGTGCATGCTAGACAAGCACTCTTGTCAGTTGAGTCACATGAATGCAATTTACAAAGTTTTTTTCTTATGACTTTTTTTACACTCTGTACAGAATCAGGAAGTTGTATTGTGGGCAAACAGGATGAAGATAATGTTCACCAAGCCCCACTTTGGTCCAAGAGTCAAGTCCCACCCCTAAGCACCCTGCTTCCTCACCTTCCTCCACACCTATGACAATGGAGGCAAAGTTATCATCTAGAAGGATCATGTCAGCTGCCTGTTGGAGCCCCTCTATCCAGACCACATGTTCTGCTTGGCTCATGGCTGGACTTCTGCCAGGTTCTCCAGGACTACTTGGCCCCCTTACCTGCCTCTGACACCCCTTCACAATGATGAGCTTTTGCTGAGGGGAGGTCCGAGCAAACACGGTCTCTCTGTAGGTTTTGAGGAGCTGGTCCAGCTAGTTTGAGTCCATGTTCTTTAGATCTGAGCCATGCACCACAATGGCTTTAACAGACCTAAGGGAAAGAGTTTCAGAAGACTACATGTGAGTGCTGAGAACTCAGCAGGGCTTCTGTCATCCTTCAATCAGCTTTTAAGTTCTTGGTTTCTTTTCATTTCCGTCTCCTTATCCTCGGCATACCTCCTCAGATCGACTCATCTCATTCCTGTCTTCCTTGCCAACCATGCCTCCCTTTCCTCTACTTCTTTCTTTTCCTGCTTCCTCTGAAAACTCAGTGACATAGTCACTTAGTTATGTCTTTATTATATTTTATTTTGTAGAGTGTAAATCCCATAATGCTACTTGCTGGAGAAGATTTCAGGAACTTTAATAAATGGTTTTGGGTGGACAGGCTGAGAATGGAGGGGAAAATGCCAGCGCTAAGTTCTTTAGGGGAGGGTCTCACCGGGCATTGACTTGACTGACGGGGATATTAAGTCGGGCAGCAACGTCCTCCACTGTCTCCTTACCTTCTGAGATAATGCCCACGCTTCTGGCAATGGCCTTGGCTGTAATGGGATGAACCCCTGTTACCATGATCACCTTGGTTAAAGAGGGAGAGGGAGAAAGAATGCCTTCAGATAAGCCCTGGATCCTTTATCTTTCCAAGAATAATAGTTCACTGGTTTCACTGATACTGGTTTTAGTATCTCTTTTCCAAGAACGACTCACATGTGTCAAAAACAGTGCTACTGTGACTTCAACCCCTGTGAGGAGGCAGGACTATCAGACCATATAGCATAGATGTTTCAGGATTCATGCTTCCCAGGAAGAAATCAGTGATTGGGAAATATTGCTATATTCAGAGTTTTATTTGTTCTGGAAGCTATTCTGTAACTTAAAGCACCAGCATATAAACATCTACATGCAGAACAAATCTTAACAAAGGAATGTCTTGAATAATCCATCTGCCTAGCAAAATTTCAGGACCAGTGCATGTGGATTGTTACTCTTTTTTTACTGCCTTACCCAGTCCTTCACTTTCTGCCTGTGCTGGGCTACACAGCATCTCATTCTATTCCATTCCTCCCCAAAAATGAGGTTCTCACGCTCGCTCTATGCTTTCACGGCATTCTGTTCTTTTCTTTCTTTCCTTCTTTCTTTCTTTCTTTCTTTCTTTCTTTCTTTCTTTCTTTCTTTCTTTCTTTCTTTCTTTCTTTCTTTCTTTCTCATTTCTTTAACACAGGGTCTCCAGAGCTGTAGCCCCAGCAGGCCTGGAACTCACCGTGTAGACCAGGCTGGCTTCAATCTCATGGAAATCCTCCTGCCTCTGCCTCCCAAGTCCTGGGGTGAAAGGTGTGCATGACCTCGCCTGGAGGCATTCTGTTCTTCCAAAGTGCTGCACTTACTACTTTTCTGCGTGGTGGCGTCTTCCTCACTGACATCATCCACCCTCTGTGAGGGTACGATGCTCAAGCATTTTGTCCTCTTACAATGTCTTGCACATAACAAGACATCAACAAATAAGTATGGAATGAGGATTGAAGGGATGATGACTGTGTGGGAGCTTCTGCCTAAGGTTCCCCACTGCCCTCTAGGCAGGTACACAATTTTTTAAGCTCTTGTGGGCGGGATAAGCAAACCTTCTGAAAATAGCAAAATTATTCACTGCTTTCAGGATCAGAGATCTTGCAGAGGTCAATCTATTTGTTTTCAAGGCATGGAAATATGTGTTCAAGATGTTTTCCTCAAAGAATCAGCTGTATGGTTTCATAAGCCCTTGTCCTTCCACACTGGCACTTAATTAAAGAAACAGCAAAGTCCTAACTAGGCTGGAATTCTTAGAGACTCAATGAAATTGCACCGAACTGACACCTCAAACCACTGATATTAAGTGTTCAGGTCTAGCTGTGGGGCGCTGGACCCTCAGAAGTTTGGCCCAGGAGATACCTTATAGTTGGTGAAGATCTAGAAAGGAATGGTAAGAGCATTGTTTTTCTATGTGGTTGAGAGTGAGCCCTTGATTAAGCTGTGAGGTTCTGGCTTACAATGCAGGGGCTCATTAGTAGCGGCCAGGACCTGCTTGGCAAAGCATACTGTCATCCTCATGCATTCCTAGTATCGTACCATCAAAGCTACTATAGTAGCTACTAAGTAGCTATAGTAGCTTCTAAAAGTACTACCTCCATGCCAAGTCAGAGAAATCAAAACACAAAGCTCCAACAGTGAGTTCCTGGGACACAATTTCACCAAACACTGAAATGTACGTATACAATAGAAGCGCAGTTCTACAAAGAATGGCTCCCTTTGAAGTAAAGGGCATCCAGCAGTTTCTGGAATTCATCAAGTTCTGGAAGAATTTCATTTCCAACATGTTGGTGCTGACTGTACCTCTGATGTTCCCACACAATTGTGCAAGCTACCCTCTGTTCCCGTCTACCCTCTTCCCCCAATCAGATCATCTAAAAGAAACTTTTTAATACTGCTAAGGAAACTACTCTTCAGGACAAGAGCCTGGCTTCTTTGTAGAGGGCATTCTAGTCAGATCCTTAGTGGTTAATACAATATAAGTATTTTAAAACTTTTTTAAAATTACATTTATTTAAAAATCATGAGCACATGGCTACCTGCTCAGTCCTCCAATCATTTCCTTATAAAAGGCTTTCCTGCCATGAAACCATTATATGACTTCTTTTATTCAGGAGTCTGTGATAGTCATCAGCTCTGCATCACCACCATCTCAGAGCTGACCCTGAAAGAGTCTACCTCAGAACAAGCGCCTGTGTGTCCATTACATTTTGTACATTTTGAAGATGACGCCATTCATATGTCTTATACTTCCCTACAGGGAGAGGCGGTGATTCACAGTTCCTCACTGAGTCTGCCAACTTTCTGTCAGTTGAGAGTCCGGAAGGAGGCACAAAATTGTAAATGAGATTCATAAACAGGCACAGAGCAAGGGCTGGTCAGAAAGCACTTCAGCTGCCACCTCACGGCCAGCCCTCATGAGCTGGCTCTACCTCAGGCGACAGTGACATCCTTCCTGATTTGGAAGGCATCCTGAGTAAAATTATTTCTCTGCCTCCTGTTTGGGCCTTCCCACCTGTTGGTGAACTTGTAGCTCACTTCTTACTAAAGAGATCCATAAATTCCCAGGTGAGATAAATTGCAGACTCCATTTATAATGTTATCCCTCATTCTAATAGTCTAGCTCAGAGCTCAGAAAGTTCAAATGAATGTCTTCTTCCATAATATGATATGGTAGCTTAGAGCACTTTGGGGTAAGTATCAACATTGATTACTGTGTGGAGATGTTCTATAATAATGTTATATCTACAAAGATCTTACTGCCTCACAAAGTTTATAACTAAGGTAGCAATTAAAAATTTTGTTCATGGAGCTGGAGAGATGGCTCAGTGGTTAAGAACACTGGCTGTTCTTGCAGAAGACCCGGGTTTGAATCCCAGCACCCACATGGCAGCTAACAACTGTCCATAACTCCAGTTCCAGGAGATTTGACAGCTTCTTCTGTCCTCTGCGAGCATTGCATGACACAGGTACACTTACATACATGCAGGCAATATACACACGCACACAAAATAAAACTAATAAATAAAAATATTTTTTTAGAAATTTGTTCGTAAGCCGGGCATGGTGATGCACACTTTTAATCCTGGCACCAGGAGGCAGAGGCAGGCGGATCTCTGAGAGTTCAAGACAAGCTTGGTCTACATAGCGAGTTCCAGGCCAGCTGGGGCTACGGAGACCCTGTCTCAAAAAAGAAGGAAAAAAATTGTTCATAATAATTTCTTGAGAACTTGTATGGAGGTTCTAGCAGGAGAGTGTAGCTACTCATATACCCTTGACCAGAGACCAGCCTTCCTCTATCAGGAAAGGTCACCCTCCTCTTTGGCCAGGTGCACAGCTTCCAGAAGGATGCACATGGAGTGATGAGGGAGGAAGGGGACACTCACCTAGGCAGCCAGATCAGCCAAATCAACCCTGGCAATCAATGGGGTGATAGATGTCACAGCCAGATTGCCTTCACATCCCCACCCACTTCATTTCTTTAGTTTCCACTCTAGTGACCCATCGTTGAACTCAGCATTGTCCCCAATGACTCTTAGACAAACCGCCAACAGCCACAGGTCTAAGGGTAGTTCCAAATGAGAATCTCCTCCTCCCATGCCTCCAATTCCTCTAGCTTTAACCAGCGCCTCCCCACTTCAATCTAGAACATTCAGGTGACCTAGAGTAATAAGCTGTGGGCAGGAAAGCATCAACATCTAATCTGTCAACCTGAGTTCAAATCCTGGAGCCTGCAAGGTAGAAGGAGAGAAAAAGCTTTTCTCTCTCTCTCTCTCTCTCTCTCTCTCTCTCTCTCTCTCACACACACACACACACACACACAGTGCATGTATGCACATGCATCATACATGTACAGATATACATAATAAATTTTTTTTGAGGAGATGTAAGTCTTTGGCATGGGTGCACAGAATCTTACAGAATTCCATTGCTGCTCTCCTATGAAGTCCAAGCCCCCATCTGATTAAAGAATCTTTCCCATATCTGAATGTACTCTGCAGTGGAGTTTCACTCTTGGACCAATTCATCTTGTTAGATTTAGGAGGGCAGAAAAGGGAAGGAGTTTAAAGTTTAGAAATAAGAGTCAGAGCCAGATCTGCAACAGGCAAGGAATGTGCTCCCTGGATTCAGGAAGCCCAGCAAAGGGCTGTCAGCTCTTTTCCTCAAGGAATGATTATCTGCAGGGAGCAGTCTGGTCTTATATAGGAACTCTGCTGCACACAGCTGCAAGAGTTAACTCCGTGCCAGGGTCTGGTGTTCTTAAGGGTCTCTTTTCTCAGACAGGCGGGTAAGTTATCTAGAGCACGAGAGGAGACAGGTGGGCTCCACAAACAGTCTATCAGTCCAGGGAGTGACCAGTTGATAAGGCTTGAGCAAGGCCAGACTTGAGCAAGGCCAGGCTGCTAATTTAGGGCCAGTTAGCCACTCTAAGGAATTTATGTCTTTATGACCTCCTCTAATGAAGCTTAAGGCCCTCCTGAAATTCACATATTCCAGCACATCTTAGTTTCTAGTTTTCCTTCGTCTTAGTTTCTAGTTTTTCCTTCAGGTCAGAGGTTTGTACTGTTAGTGCAGCTACTTACTGAAAGTTAGACTATACTGGACAGTGGTTCTCAAACTTGCTTGCTTATTGAAATCTCCAGGAATGTTTTTAAAGAACAGAGTCCCAAGATCTTTAAATTTAATGGGTCTAGAATGAGACTTAGACACCGATTTTTCAAGCTTCCCTGGATTCTAATGATCAACACTAGACAGGCTTCTGGAAGAAACTATTAGACATCTCCTAAAAGCAGACATTATAAGCTCAAGGAGGCAGAAATCAATTCAGGCAAGATTATTCAGCACCTACCCTGTGCCAGGCTTTCCACTAGTGGCTCCAACTTGTGACAAGTATTTACCTTGATCCTTGCACAGCGACACTTGCTCACAGCGTCAGGCACAGCAGTATGAGGAGGGTCAATCATAGATATGAGACCAGCAAAACACAGCTTTTCCATGGGAAAATTTAATTCCTCTGTGTTAAACTGGAATCCCTTAGAGAAGTTACTAGGCAAATTCAAGAAGCAGAACCCTGGAGAGAGACAAAAGAGCCCAGCAGTCATCTATGTCCCTCTATCTGCCCCGCCAAATCCTAGACTGTTCACCCCACAAATTGCCATCTTCAAGACGTTCTTTCAAAGGTACCCCCACAGCTCCTCACCCAGCACACACTCCCCTAGACCTCCCAGTTCCCATTTTGGAACTCTGTCATCATTTCATCGTCCATTGGGCACTATTGGCCATTTAGGAGGAAACTAGAGCAAAATTCCACGATCCTCTTGGGAGCACCCTTCATTAGCAGCACATGTTTCTGGGAGTCATCTTCCAGAAGGTGAATGGACATCTAGGGAGGGGAGAAGTAGTGATGGAACCAGAGAGGTGGAGGGAAGAGGCTCAGAAAAATCCAAGGGGAAGTTTTTGAAGGTAAAAGAGACAGGCAACCTGTTTCATACCTATCCCTCACCCCCAAACCAGGTCAAATCAGACTTAAGGCAAAGCCCAGCCACTTTCCTTTCAAGGTCTATCCTCCCACCCCCAAGCCTGAGATTCTTTGCCCAGGAATCGATCATCTTCTCTGAAGCTCTCTGAGGACAGGGCATGTACTCTCCCTTCCTGATCTCTTGCTGATTGGATGGCTCAAGCAGAGCTCAAAGTTCAGCATGAATGATTTACCTGTTTTGCAAGCTCACAGAAATCCACTTAATCCTGACAAACCTGAGTTTCTTCCACAAAGAGTAAAAAATCTTGTCTTGCTTTCTTCAATGGATTTTTATGAAAGTTGTTAAACAAAAAAATCCACAGCCACCACAACAAAACAACCTTTGAAAGTGTGAAACACAAACCAAATAATTTAACCCTAGTCATTCTCCTACCGGCACAAGGTGCCCCTGACAGAGACTGTCAGCTGATTGGCTGTCAGATGATGGGGGGAGGGGGAGTAAGGGATATATTCATGAAATGAACGTGCAGAGACCACAACAGCCAAAGGAAGAAATCACAGGGCTTAGGTTTACATTTCCACTTGATCTCTGGTCTATGAAAAGGAACTCTGTGGGGTTTCTCTTTTGACTGATAGGAAATGCCTGCTATGTCCCCTGTTGGGAATGAAATCAGCACATTAAAAGGAACTGTGGGAACCCAGAGGAGGCCAGACTACACTTCCCAAAGGGCAAACAGGGTGAGGGACCAGTGACCAGTGCATAAAATGTGGTTACAACTGTTTTGTTAGAGACTGCTCGATTATGTTCAGGATATGCTTAAGCAGTTAAAAGAAAAAAACAAAAGCTTAACTTGTTAAAAAGCAGACAGCTGTAAATGATTAACAAAGCCCAATTTTCTTATTGCTCAATGAATATTTGTTGAATGAATGAAAGGCTCAGAATGAGAGAAAGACCTCCTTCAAGCTATTAAAATGGTCACGGAAAATAATCTGTCTTGATAGATTACAGATAGGGCTAGTAAGGTGCTCAGCTCAGATAAAGGTTCTTGCTCCCAATCATGAACACCTGAGTTCAACCCCTGGGACTCACGTAGTTACCCTCTGACTTTCACATGTACACCGTGACATGTGAACCCCCCCCACTAAATATAAATGTAATAAAAAATATTTTTTTAAAGATTGCTGATAAAGAAGTAAGAGAAATCTGGAAATGGACTAACCTCTTCATTTTACTTCCATTTCAGAGAGGGTAAGAGACTAAGTTTTGCAAATGACCAGCAGGTTAAGATTTTTGGAAGGCTGGAGTCTCTACCCCTTGGTGTAAACTAATTCTAATAGCTCACTCAGAGCCTGCCAGAGTTGGCGCCTGCTGGAGTTTATGTCTAGTAGGCTGGCCTGTGACACCTGGTACAACAGAACCAGATCTTTCACTCAGAAACACTAACGTGGTCATTTTGCAGAATATCATGACTTGTTGGATATTCTAACAATGTTGTTAGGTTTTGCTTTTATTTTTAACCACATGGAAGGTGAGGTACCTAATTCTTCCAAAGGGTTTACTCAGGCCCTGCCAAGCCACAAAATTCCTGTCTGGTTAGTGAGGCCACCAAATGTCAGAAAAAAAGTGAAGATAAAGTTTGTAGTTTGAACCTGGGAAACTTATTTTATTATAGTGACTAAAATCAGTCGAGGGGCTGGAGAGATGGCTCAGCGGTTAAGAGCACTGACTGCTCTTGCAGAGGACCCGGGTTCGATTCCCAGCACCCACATGGTGGCTGTGAACCGTCCTTAACTCTAGTTCCAGGGGAATCTGAAGCCCTCTTCTGATGTCCACGGCAATGTGTGACTCGGGTGCACTCACTTACATACAGGCAATGCACTCATACACATAAAATAAAAATAATAAATAAAATATTAAAAAAATAAAAACCAGTTGAGACAGGAAATATGGATCTACTTATTTCTTAGTGCTCCATCTGAAAATGCAGGTAATTTTTTTTTAAAAAAAAACCTCTGTAGACTATGTCATTTTGTTTTGTCTGTTTTGAGACAGAAAGGCAAAGCTAACTGAGGAGTCTCAGTTCAAGGCCCTGCTTCACACTCAAATGTCTGTTCTTTATGGAAATGCAGGGGGTTGGAGAACCCATTCCCCAAGCAAACTTGGCCTGGTTGGCCTCCAGTCATGGTGAGGCCACTCACTGTCCTTTCCTGGAACCCTCTCTTCCAAAGTCTCCTAGGATTCTCATTTGGGAAACAAATACTGTCTTTTCAGTCCCTCCATGAATCCTTTTGATTTTTCTTCTCTTCTCTCTCTTTTTTTAAGATAGGGTCTCCTCTGCAGCTCAGACTGGCCTGGGGCTCTGGACAGTCCTCCTGCCTCAGCCTCCTTACTGCTGAGATTCTAGGCATGAGTCACCACACACAGATTCTAGGATTTCACCATTTGTGCTACTCACCATTACTCAGCATTTCCTCTTCTCTTGCCTACTCCTCCCTGGATAATGAATCAGTGTTCTTAGGAAATGAAAAACATGACAAACATGCTGGAGGCCTCTAGCTGCTTAACTGGTGGCTGCCCTAGAACTTCAGGCATGGAAGGAAAGGAAATGTTTGATGCTAAGGAAGCAGTGTCTTGTAGACACAGCCTCGCCTCAGCAGTGGCAAATTTTGTAGCAAATTTGGTGCAGGCTAACAGCCGTATGTGACTGATGTGACTTCCACCAACAGGTGAGAGGTCTGCTTGAAATGAAGCATCTCTTTTCTCCCTTACCACCTCTTTGTCTTCACTTCCTTCTAGTTGGGATGTGGGCTCTCCTGAGCTATTGCTTTGCTCAGAGGTGCAGTTGGGGGCAAAGGCATAGTTCCCCTCACTGATGCATCCACACCCTGCCCATTGTTCCCTACCTTTGCCAGTTCAGTACCTGGTACTTGTTGGTAGAATTAAAGGGAATCTCTGCCACCTTGGGGTTGCTCTGTCTCATTTCTTTCACAGGTGTGTAAGACTGCTCAATGAGTTTGAGGAGGGCTGACTCAGAAGCATCCCCTGTCGTTGCCTACTGCGAGAAGGGTTTGTATAATAAGTCCCAGGGAAATACCATCTGGGCATAGGGTTTACCTGTAGTCTCCAGAAGAGAGCAGAATGGGAAGGGAAGGATGTGTGCATGGAAAATCACTGAGGGCCAAGAAAGGGACTTTTCTGGGGGAGAAGGCAGGTAATATTCTGGCCATTGAGGTATAGTTTTCCCTGCTTAGGCTTGATAACTTCTTTATGGGCAGGGATTCCTGGTGAGGTTTAAAGTCAGCCTTATTGCAGAGGCCAGCTATTCGAGCCAGGTAAAACCACGTTTCTGAGGACTTAGGAAATGTTTTCCCTAGGGAAGGAGAAGGGAAGAACTGTAAACAGGGAACAGGAGAGTTTTAAACAATAAAATTACACTTGGAAGTAGGCACAGGAGGATTAAGAGCTCCAGGTCATCCTCAGCTACATATCAAGTTGAAGGCCAGCTTGGGCTATGAGATACCCTCTCTCAAAAAATTAGAACAAAACAAAAAACAGCCAGGAGTTGTCCATATATCCTCATTCATACCCAAATACTGCACAGAGGTGATACTTCTTATATACCTCCCTTCCTGCCGCTCCTCGGCTCTCTCCCATTTGTCTGGAGCCTCCATTGCCCAAATGACTCGTCACTCCCCACCCCACCAAATCCTTCCATTCTTTCTACTAATACCACTAGTCACCAGTGGTCTGCTCTTCACTGATGTCAGCCTCATACACAGTCTTATCGAACCACAAGTGGGCCACTGTCATGCAGTTCTGGGTGAGGGTGCCTGTCTTATCTGAGCAGATGGTGGATGTAGAACCCAGTGTCTCCACCGCCCCCAGGTTCTTCACCAGGCAGTTCTTCCGAGCTGTCAGGGTCAGGCACACCTAAAGCAGCCCAAAGGGGTAAAGAGTAGATTGAGAGGGCGACTACTCACACCATTTTAAAAAAATACTTTTTATTTATTTATTTTTTTAATTTTATGTGTATGAGTGTATTGCCTGCGTGTGTGTAAGTGCACCCGTGTCGTGCAATGCCCGAGGAGGTCAGAAGAAAGCATTGGATTCCCCCGGAACTGGAGTTGCAGGTGGTTGTTAGCCACCCTGTGGGTGCTGGGAATCGAACCCAGGTCCTCTGCAAGAGCAGTTAGTACTCTTAACCACTGAGCCATCTCTCCAGCCCCTACTCATACCATTTTAAGTTTAGGGAAATTGATCATTTCTATTTCCCTCTTATCCTCCTCTACTCTAGAAATTCCACCTATGACTGTCATAGAGGATAGTGGGGAAACTATTTTGGTGTGTGCTTTCTGGCTAGAGTTTCAGTGTATTCCTTCACTCAGTATCACAGAACACAAGCTCCTTCCCTGGGAGCCTTTCCGCTTTTTTGTTCAGTAGCCTCTTTTCTATTCAAACCCCAGGCAACACTTCTTTCTCAGGTCCAATCTTTCCAGCCATCACATACATATCTAATGTGACTCTAATTGTGACATACAACGATGTGTGTGGAAGGAGTGTTTTGCCAATAGTTTCCAAAAAGAATAAGCAGGAGAGAATGATGGCATTGGGAAAGAGTATCACAGTATTGATAAATACCTGAAAGATCATTTAAACCAGAAAATTTTTGTTAATCATAAATTCAGTGTAAGTCAGGAATGTGGCAAGGTTGTTTTAAAGGCTAACAAATTCTTATGCTGTAGTTAACTAAGTACAGAATTCCAATTATGGAATTACAATTTATTTGCATTCTATCACTGGTCTCAATACTTTTACAGTAGTTCAAACACACCTTAAATATTATTCTCATTTCTTTTTAAGAAGAATATTGATAAACTAGAGCATAACCCAAATGAGTCACCAGCAAGATAAAGGGCTGGAGATTTTGTCATAGGAAGAATGGTTAAAGGAAAAGGGATTATTTTTACCTGGAGAGTCCGAGGGGACATAGTAGCTACCATCAAAATATAAAGGATTAGTTGATAGGAGACAGAGAATCACCTTATTTTGGTTCTTCAGTTGGAAAAACTAGGATGAAACATGAAACCACATTTCTGCTTACCACATTTCTGCTTACCACAATGAAATTTAGCTACAGTGATCCAATAGCAAAATAGGCTGAAACCAAAAAGGGCATGCTCCTTATGGTCAGAAAAGACACCCAGTTATCCTCCAGAGATTTTTACAGAGAATATTCAGTGTTGACTCAAAGGTTGGATTTACATGACCTTTAAAGTCCTTTCCAGTAGGATTCCACAGCTCCAAATTAATTGTTCTCTATAAACTCATCAATAATTGAGGCCTGAAGATATTAAGTGATTCGGCCAAGTTTAACAGCCAGAATACCCAACCAGAATGCTCTCTAGCTCTGTTTCAACTTGCCTCCTTTTTCACTGAAGAGAAAGAGCAGACACCACAAGACATGGGCAGAGGAAGTTAACAGAATGTTGGGAGCTAGATTGTTTATGGTGATTCTGTGTATATCAGGACTACTCCATACTTTGAAGGCTCAACAACCAAAAAGATAGTAGTGATTTCATTTCCCTAGGGTTGTTTGTCCACAGACCACCGTCCAGGCTGTTACAGTGACAGTGGCCAGCAGCCCCTCAGGCACATTGGCCACAGTGATACCGATAAGGAAAATGACAGCGTCCAGCCAGCCATAGTTCAAGAGAAGTGAGAGCACAAAAAAAGTGACACCCAAGAAGACAGCCACTCCTGTGATCAAATGGATGAAGTGTTCAATCTCAGCAGTGATGGGGTCTGGCCCATTGTCAGGCCTGACGTGAGGGAGGCAATTCAGCCCATCACCTTGTAGTCTCTGGTAGCAATCACAATACCCCGGGCTGATCCTGTGAAAGAAGAATCTGTGATATACTGTGATACAGCAAGACATACCTAAGTTGGGTCTGCCCCCAGTTCTTGACATAAAACTCCTAAAATCCTTAGGACTGAAAATCTTTTGTCATCACAGTTGATCTTTAGATTTTTTGTAATTTCCTGAGTAATAGGAGTATCTGACATAAAGCTTCTAAATCCCTTAGACTTTCTTGAGTAATAAGATAAACTTTTGCTTTAATGAGGCAACTCTTGGTGGGCTCTTAGATAGCCATAGTATGGAAGGAGTTTCCAAAGGAACCAACCATGTGATTACAAGGCAGAACTTTCAGCTCTACTGCCTAACTTCTGAGATGTGGAGATGGACTAAAGGCTGAGTTGATTGCCAATGGTGAACGATATAATCAATTATGTCTATGTAAAGAAGCATCTATTCAAAGTCTAAGAACACTGGGTTTGGAGAGCTTCTAAACTGGCAAACACATGGAGGGGTCTGGAGGATGGCATACCCAGAGAGGGTACAGAAGCTTGGTATTCCTTCTCACATACCATGTCCTCTGCATGTCTCCCATTTGGCTGTTCACCTGTATCGTATCTGTAATAAATGAGAAATGTGGCCACGTGCTTCCTGGAGCTCTGTGAGCCACACTAGAAAATCAGTTGAGCCCAAGGAAAGAAGCATGGGAACCCCAATTCTATCTGTCAGAAGTTTAGATGACAATTCAAACTTGGGTTTGAGTCTGAAGGAGGAGGAGTGCTGTGAGACTGATCTCACCTGATGCTAGCTTGACGTAGTGTTAAAATTGGACTGAACCATAGAATTCCTTATTGGAAACTGATGGAGAATCCCTACATTTGGATACAGAGGGTTCTGCATGGACAGAATTCTTTTGAATTTGCTTGAGCCAGTCAACCAGGGCATACCAAATCTGAACTGGGAAACCCCATTGGGTTTGATTCCCAGAGAGAGCTATCAGTGGTCCAAAACAAGGTAGGACTATAAGGCCCTCTAAGAGGCCATTCCATCCTATTTGTGTGTGTGTGTGTGTGTGTGTGTGTGTGTGTACATGTACATGTGTGAATTCAAGTGAGGGTGCATGTGTATAGAGGGTGCACATGCATATGTGCATGTAGAGGTCAGAAGCAAACATGGGTATTGTTCTTTAATAAAAGAACCTTGTACTCTTGAGAAAGTCTCTCTCTTGGCCTAGCACTCACTGACGAGGCTAGTTTGGCTGGCAAGCAAGCCTCAGGAATCCTCCTGTCTCTGTTTTTCCAGTGTTAAGATTCCAAATGTGCACCACCATGCCTGGCTTTTTAACGTGGGTTCTGGGGACTGAACTCAGGTCCTCATGTTTACGTGGTAAGCACTTTACTAAGCCATCTCCCTAGCCCCTCCATTCTATTTTCATGTGTAGTTTATATAAAGTCTCCAAATTGTAAAAATCTCTGAAGAGATTTCACGGTTCTCCAGAGATACCCAGTTTGCCTTGACTGTCAAGGTCTTTATTACGTTTAATCTTATTATCTCCAGTTGCTTATGTATTCTCTCTCCTCTCCCTCTTGTGTGGGTGTGTGTATATGTGTGTGTGGGTACAGGTGCACATGTGTGCATGTGTAGGCATGTAAATGGAAGACAGATGTTAACATTGGGTATCATTCTTTAGGAACTATTCACCTTATTTTTTGAGACAGAGTCTCTCATTGGCCCTGGGTCTTGCTAATTCAGCTAGACTGGCCAGCAAGCCCCAGGGAGCCTCCTGTTCCTCCTTTCCAGCTCTAGGATTACAAGCATATGCCACCATGCCCAGCTTTTTACATGGGTATTGGGAATCAAACTCGTGATTGTGTGGCATGATTTTATTGACTGAGCCATCTCTCCAGCTCCTTGCTTATGTATTTCTTGTTTTGTCCTCAGAAACAGTTTTTATAATCCCAAGAACAGAAGTTAACTTTTGATGGAATATGATGTTCGAATATCCTTTCATCTTCTGAATCAGTGACTCAGAACTGGAAGGAACTTTCCCCGTGGGACATTTGACAATGTGGGGACATTTTGGTTGCCTTAACTAGAGACTAAGGTAAGAGGGGGCTGGTACTGACATCTGGTGGGAGGAAGTCACAGATGCTGCTAAACACCCTACAGTGTAGAGTTCAGCCTTCGTCTTTCCTCACAACCGAGAATCCTCCAGTCCTCATGTCAGTAGTTGAGAAACCCAGATTGAGGGAGCCCCCTTCCCTGCTTTTCTAGCTAGAGCCAGTCTGACCTCTGCTGGGTAGCACAGGCCATAACAGCTGGACTTCTGTGCTTTTTCCAGGGCCTTCTCTCTCCGTTAGCCCTGCTCTGTATGATAGAAGGGAAACTTGGGCATAGTAGTTGGCTATTTACCCACACATTGTACAGATCTTTTACCCACATTGCACAGATCTTTTACCCACATAACTTGAAATGAGTAGACTCAAATTGTTTTAGAAAATTCTTCCCATTCTACCACAGTGTCCAACATTCCCGCCTTTCAGAGTAATAATAACTGAAGAAAGGAACTTATAGACAGAGCATTTATTTTAGAAGCAGAAAGGCAAAGGGCTGAAAGGTCAACTTTCCAAGTAACTAGCTCTTTTCTCTGGGGCAAGGTACTACGCTGAGACTCAGGCTTCCTCATCTTTAAAATGGGATGAAATCACAGGTCAAATGTTGTGGCTCGCAACTATAAACCCAGCACCTGAGAGGCTGAGGCAAGAAGATTGCTATGAATTTAAGGCCAGCCTGGCTATCTAGTGAGTTATAGGCCTGCATGGGCTCCAGTGTGAGACTTTATCTAAAAAGAAAAGAAAAGGAAAAAAATGAACCGACAACGCTGTGAAATTAAACGTCTCTGGAAGAGCCTAGAACAAGGCTGGGTGTGTGTTAGATGTTCAAATACTCATTCCTTTTTTTCTCTGCATTAAGATGAATAAAAAGTCTCCGGAAGGACCAACATAAAACCCTACATACTGCAGCCAGATCAAGCCCATATTTACATGGAAGAAGAATCTATAAAGTTTCACAGTATAAGTCACTCTATAGATGACCATCATACTGTTTAGCAGAGGTATTCTGAAGATTCAAAAATGCTGAAATGATTGAAAGGTGTTGAAAGGACTTTGCATTTTTGATGGGTGTGGGTGTCTACAGTGCAAGCTGTGACTGCTTTATGCTGTGGTGTAGCCTAGTTCTTCATTTTTTCCTTCTGCTATGTTTTCTTGTGTTTGGAACGATGAACTATAATCACTGATCCTAGTATGTATAGAGATGTGGTAGGTTAGCATCAAACTAGAGAAGACTGAGAAGGCCAAGCATCCTGTATCCCAGGCCAAGCTGCTCCTGTGTAGACCTTCCATGCATCATCAGAGAAATAGCCTAGGTTCCCTACAAGAAGCATGGGAACACGGAGAGAGGCATTGTCTCATAGCTCATCAAGGTCCACTGCAGAGAGACAAGGGAAAAACTTACAGTTATGCTGCTAGTTTGTACATTGCCTAGGGAAGAAATTAAAGAGCAAATTGATCTAGGGTAAATGTTATTACTTGGCAAATTGCATAAAAATTCCTTAGTTTAATAGTCAAGAACTCCTCTAACCAAGATAGCTCTACCCTCTTGGCTACATTTGTGTTCTGTTTGTGTTCTGCTAAATCTTTTTCCACCCAGAGAGACCCTTGTTTTTTAGCTGGAGTGCCCTTACCCACTCCTTTCCAGCCCTTTTATCTGCAGTATACTTAGCTGATAAAAAGCCTATTTCAGCCAGGCGTAGTGGCACATGCCTTTAATCCCAGCACTCGGGAGGCAGAGGTAGGTGGATCTCTGTGAGTTCGAGGCCAGTCTGGTCTACGTCATGAGTTCCAGGCCAGCTGGGGTTACAGGGAGACCTTATCTCAAAAAGACAAAAAGACATACACACACACACACACACACACACACACACACACACACACACACAACCCCCATTTCAGAGGGGTAAATCTGAGCAAATTTCTTCCTAAAAATAATAGCAGAAATTCAGTATTTTTTATAGAAAGCTTGCTAATTTTCATTTTTCTGCTAGTCAATGAATTCTCTCTCTCTCTCTATATATATATGTATATACACATATATATGTGTGTATGTACATATACATTTATATATAATATAAGCTATATGACATATTTTCCTGGTTATATTCCTCCTTAGTATCTGTTTAGTTTTCTTGTTGTTTTTATGAAGCTATTTTCAAGTTGATAGGGAGTGGTTATTAACAATTTTTGAGTGCTGAGTAGGAGGTGGCATAGGCTTTGGAGACAGACTTGCATTAGAATCCCTAATCCTCCTCTCTTCCATTGAGTTGTGCTTTTGAATATGGTGAGCATGTAATGTCTTTGAACTTTAGTTTTTCATGTATAAGATAAGGATATTTTCCATGTTGGTGGTATAGTGGTGAGCATAGCTGCCTTTCAAGATAAAGATAATACTTACTGTGTGGCATTGTGAGAATCAGAGAAAATATCTAAAGAACTCAGCACTGTGTAGCTATATGCATTTATACATTCAACAAAACAGCTGTTTCTAGACAACAAAACATTTATCCTTAAACATTAATACTGGTTTTCAAGTATATTCCAGAGTAGCTTTAGGTTTCCTTAAGAGGAAAGGGCAAAGGAGAGAGCAGTGTGGTGGTGTTGAGTCCTTTGTTACCACTTTGGTTAGAACTGACTCTCAGTTCAAGGATACCTTATATTCTAGGGCCAAAGTCAATGCTTGGATGGCCAAGTCTTAGTGGCATCTCTGGTAACTGAAACTTCCAGTGCTGAGGTCTTGTTCTGGGAAGAGAATAGTTAGAAATGAGGAGGATGGCCTAGCAGGCATGAATAACTTTCTTCTATTCTGTGCTATTTTTAGCACATAAAATTCAGTTCTTCACCAGCTAAAATAATAGTTGGCAATTATAAGACACTTATAGTGTCTTAGACCTTGTGCTACTCATCTTATCCTTACTTAATCTATACACAATCTAGAAGTAACAACTTTTACTAGTAGTAGCCTCATGTAAACTTGGAAATGGTGGTGTTGACCTTTTGGATAGTCATAGAGTTCCTGAGTGATGGAGAAGCTAAATTGTTTACCATCTTCCTACTCCAGTACTTTCAAATATATGTTCTTAAGAGCTTTCGTCTTAGAGTTCCCAACTCTGCTTTTGAATCTGTGCTACTTATGACACAATAGTCGCCTTCTACACAATTTGTGGAGGAAAAGATGATGTTCCGGGTCTCCAGGGGGTTCTCATGTGTGAAATCAGGGTATCGAGACTGGGGTTCTGATTCTCCAGTTAAGGATGGTTGTTTACCTGGGATAGGAGGGAGGATGGGTTAAAAGGTGAGCACAGAGCTGGGCATGGTGGTGCATACCTTTAACATCAGCACTTGGGAGGCAGAGGCAGGTGAATCTCTGTGAGTATCAAGGCCAGTTTGGTCTGCATAGTATTTCAAGACAGCCAGGACTATATGGTGAGGTCCTGTCTCAGAAAGGAAGGAAGGAAGGAAGGAAGGAAGGAAGGAAGGAAGGAAGGAAGGAAGGAAAAAGTAAAGAAAAGGAAAAAGAAAGGATTTATGAAAACAGCATAGCTTCCTCCCTCTGTCACAATTATCATCATCAACACACAGAGATAAATAAACTCACCATCACCTTATTGTTACTAATTTCAAGTTGACACTTATCAAGGTTCTTATTTTCTCTAACTAAACCCTGGTCCCTACCATACCTTAGACCTACACGTTGTCTTAGGCCCACTCCTATAGCTTTCTGTATCACCTCACCTTACATCCTTGTGCAGAGATAACCCGAATATCAGCAGGGATTTGATCTCCACCCTTGACTTCCACCAGGTCTCCCAACACCACATCTTTTATGTCAATTTGCATCCTCTCTCCATCTCGAACGACCAGAGCTTGCTGTAGAAAGATCATGAGGGGCTTTATGAAGTGTCCTGCTTTCCCCGTGTTGCTCCCTGTTCCTGTCTCCTCTGAGTCATTCACCTCAGTAGTCTTGGCAGTGTCTTTGGTAGAGCATACATTTCTAGCACTGCTGTTCACAGAACTCTTTGCAATGTAACTTTGGTGTCCTTCCTGTTAAGAGGTAGAATCTATCTCTTCATCCCTAAATCTACAGTTAGCCATGTGATTTGCTTTGGCCAATAGGATATTAGCAAATGTGATACCAACAGAGGCTTAAAAATGCTTGCATGTTAACGTTAGCCCTGTTGTACTGGGAAGCCCTCTGCCTTCATGAACCAGCCTGAGCTAGCCTCCTGGAAGAAAAGCCAATCATGAAGAAAAAGGCCCCAGTCACCCAGTCATCTCAACAGACTTCAAACAAGTGCATGAAGTCATCTTACATCACCTAGCACAAGCTGAAGTCAACCCTGACCAGAGCAGCAGCCCACCAACAGAACTGTGACAAAGAAATGTTTGGGGTGGTTTGTTAGGCAATCAGAGCTACCTGGTAACATCCAAGCTCCGAATGGAAACTATAAAAGCACTATCTCATAAAACTCTTCACCAAGGAAAAGTTTAAACTATACTATATAATGATACTAAAGGGGAAAAAAAATCTGGTTAGAACATGATAATGTTGTTGGGAAATCTTGGACCCTGTTCCTTTAAGTCTCCAGACCTGTGCTTAGGAACTCCAGTCTGCTGTCACACCATGTCCAGGCATCTTTAAATTCTTTTCAATTTGAAGATAATTTAAATTTTCCAGTAACAAAAATAGTGTCAAGAGCTGGGTGAGACAGTGCACACCCTTAATTCCAGCAATTGGGAGGCAGAAGCATGTGGATCTCTCTGAGTTCAAGTCCAGCTTGGTCTATGTATTGAGTTACAGGCTAGCCAGGGAAACACAGTGAAACCCTGTCTCAAAAACAGACAGACAAGGAAACAAAACGACTATATAACCTTCATCTATATTTACCTATTAACATTTTACCTCATTTAATTTGCCATTTATTTTCTGTCTTTCTATTTCTGTCTTTCTAAGTTACATGAATCATGATTTAGCCTAAACATTTGTGTACATTTCCTAAGAAGTGGATTATTCTCTTATATAACAACCATTTCTAAGCGGGTATGGTGGTACACACCTTTAATCCCAACACTGCGGAGGCAGAGGCAGGCAGAGAGTTTGAGGCCAGCCTGGTTTCCACAGAGAATCCAGGCCAGCTGCAGCTACAGGGAGAGCCTGTCTCAAAAATACCAAAACCAAACCAAACCAAACCAAAACAAACAACTATATAATGATTAGTTTCAGTAAGTTTCACATTGATGCAATACTGAAATCTACTGCCTGAATTTCAATTTGTCAACTGACCCAAAATGACATTTGAGGCGTTTTTTTTTTTTTTTTTTTTTTTTTTTTTTTCGGTGAAGAATTTCATGGGGATTTCAATTGGAACACAGCATCAAGCCTAGGACTCTACATTGCATTTAGCTGCTGTAGCACTTTAGCCTCTTTTGAATTAGAACATTTCCACATGTTGACTTTAATGTCATGGACATTTGATGAATCCAGCATATCCTCCATTCCTTATCTTTTGTTTGTAATAGTGTTCCTATTTGGGTTGTGTTGGGTGTTTCTTCATTTGATGCCAGTTGTGACTTTTAGCCTAGACCACTTGGTTGTGTTGTGTCCTCTGGGTGTCACAGTTTTCCTGGTACTTTTCAGATCTGATAGTGTCCCGGCCCCTCATCAATCTCACTCAGCTCTCCCACTGTAGGATACGATTCCCCCGGGGCACTGAGTTACAGTACAATTGATCATCTCCTCTCACGAGATCCTCCCACATGAGTCCTACCTAAGGAACCATGCTTTTAAAAGAGTCCATGATCTGGGAGCTCTTGGCCTCCTGATAATATGAGAAGCAGCCTGTGATGATGACCACTCCAGATAGTACAATGCCCAGGTACAGCTGTGGATAGGGAAAGAAAAACTCATTACTGGGTCCTTTACTCCTTGTCACCCTCAGACAGCTTGCAAAGGTAACGACTTCTCTGGATGGAAGAAACTATAAGACTGAGTTGAAGGGCAGAGGGGCCAAGAAGAATTGGGGGCAGCGCTGGCATACTCAGCTTCCTGGTGATGGAGTGGTCAAAAAAAAAAAAATTCTAGGCTGAAAGAATCTGAATCTTCCTCCCCTCTGATGGGTAAGAGGTGGATAGTGAGGGGGAAGGAGAGAGGAGATGAAGATGGTAAAGTTCTGAAGAAGAGAAAAGGACGGCAAAATGCTGTGGTGACTCACCAGATGGGAAGACTGATGGAAATTATGCCTCTTAGGGGGCTGGCTCAGGAGCTTTCTAGAGAAAAGGCTAGAAGGAACCAAGATGGCCTTCCCTAGAAAGTGCTGGACTAGGGGCTGGGGAGGTAGCTCCAGTGGTTAAGAGCACTGGCTGCTCTTGCAGAGGACCCAGGTTCAGTTCCCAGCATCCACATGATGGTTAACAACCATCCTAACTCCAGTTCCAGGGAACCTGACACTCTTCTGGCCTTTTCAGGCACGCACACACACAATGCACGTACAAACAGTCAGGAAAAACACATATACATAAAAATAAACTAAAACACATATTTTTTAAAGTGCTGAACTATTGGGGATTTGGGCCAGAAGACTTTGGGAGTGCCAGACAGCATGCTGAGCAGAAGGGTTGGTGGGGGTGCTGAACAAAAACTAGTCTGATTGGTATTAGATGAGCAGGCTCACATTATCCTTGTTGGGGTTTTCTTCTGAATAAAGATGGATGCTATAGGCCAGGAAACAGAAAAGCACCAGTCCATAGCAGGAGGGAGAAGCCACCAAACATTTGTTTACAGAATTTGATTCACTCTGGAGTGGTTGGGGGAGGGGTCAGTACATTGGGTCCATATTGATTCAGAATTTTCTCTGCTGTTTTGAGGCTATGGCCCTGTGTGGAGAAGAAAGGGAGATGGAGAGAAAGCTGTGATAAAGGCAGTTACAGCAAAGGAGGACTTCCTGTTTAGAGCCGCAAGACATGTCTAGAACTAAGCAGCCCTTGATATGGTAGGATTTTAGAATTTGTGCTATAGAAGGGGTTTCGTTTAACACCCTTATGTAGGGCTTTGTTGTTTGTTTATGAATTGACTTACAACCCTTTTTTGAACCTGTCTTGGGTCCTGCTCATGTGATAGGTACTGAGAATACCAGCATGAATTAAGAACCGTCCCTACTCATTTGGGCTGGTGAGATGCTCAGTGGGTAAGGATGGTTGCAGCTAGGCCTGATGACCTGAGTTTGATCCCCAGTACCCACATGGTGGGAAGAGAGACCTGAATCCCACAAGTTGTCTTCTGACTGCCACACTTACACCATGGCACGTGCATACCACACACATCCACATGAGTGCACACACACACACACACACACACACACACACACACACACAAATAAGTAACTAAATAAAAAAATAAAAAAAATTTAAAGAATGGTCCTTACTCTTGTGGAGTTCAAGTGGGGAAACAAACATACAGAGATAATTATAATGTGAAAGGTCATTGTAATGATGGGCTACGTATGCATGATCCATGATGTTGGTAACACTGACCATACATTGGCTTTCCAATTTGGAAACAGGAAAATAAAACCAAAGACATGAATGTATAGATTCTCATTCTTTTGGTTTGAATCTTTAAAAAAAGTTCTAAATTTATGTTTATTTTATGTGTATGAGTGTTTTGCCTGCATGTATGTAAGTATGCCATGTGTGCGTGGTGCTCGTGGAGGTCAGAAGAAGGCGTCAGATGCCCTAGAACTGGAGTTATGGGCAGTTGTTAGCCATTGTGTGGATGCTGGGAACCGATTTTAACTGCTGAGCCATCTCTCCGCCCCTTGGCTTGAATCTTAAATGTCTCGTACTAAAGACTTAGTCCCCGACTAACAGTGTTGTTGAGACCTGGCAGAAGCATAAGAGGACAGTTTAATTGGAGGAAGCAGGCCGTTGGGAGGTGCCTTTGTACACTGGGATCCTGCCCCCTCCTTTTCTCCCTTCCTCCATCTACCTCGAGGTAAGCAGCTTTGTTCTATCATGAGCTTTCTCCTATCACATTCTTCCTCACCACAGGCTCGGAAATAATGCAGGCAAGTGGCCATGGATTGAAATCTTCAAAACTGAGTTAGAATAGACCTTTCCTCCTTTTACCTTCTTCATCTCAGATATTTGTTTTTGTTTTTATTTTTAGATTAATTTATTTTTATTTTATGTGTACGAGTGCTTTGTTTGCATGTAATGTAAGTGCACCATGTGCGTGCAGTACCCACAGAGGCCAGAAGAGGAGGTCGGATCTTCTGGAACTGGGCTTAGGACAGTTGTTAGTCATCATGTGGGTGCTGAGAACCAAACCCAGGCCCTCTGCAAGAGCTCTTAACTGCTAAGTCATCTCTCCAGCTCCTATCCCAGGTATTTTGTAACAGTGATACAAAGCTAACACTTCCAATTTTCCAAAGGCAACATAAAGCATAGTATATTCAAATAGCTTTAATACCAAAAAGATATAAGAATTCAGATGTCATCTATTAGAAAGATAGACATTAGAAAGATTTGCAAAATGTAAGAAAACAATAATATTTTGTTGTGAAAGATATAGTATTTTAGACTAAAATATTATCTATACTAATTTATAATAAGCCCTTCCTTCCTTCCTTCCTTCTTTCCTTCCTTCCTCCCTCCCTCCTTCCTCCCTCCCTCCATCCCCCCCCCTTTCTTTCATGGTGCTGGGGATTGAATTCAGGACCTTGCAGTTGGCTCTACCCCTGACCTACATCCCCAGCCCCTATTCTTTTATTTTATTTTTATGTGTATGAGTGTTTTAAAAAATATTTATTTATAATTTTTATTTTATGTGTATGAGTGTATTGCCTGCATGTATGTGAGTGCACCTGTGTCGTGCAATGCTGCAGAGTTCAGAAGAGGGCTTCGGATTCCCCTGGAACTGGGCTTAAGAACCCTTCGTAGCTGCCATGTGGGTGCTGGGAATCGAACCCAGGTCCTCTGCAAGAGCAGTCAGTGCTCTTAACCGCTGAGCCATCTCTCCAGCCCTGTGTATGAATGTTTTGCCTGCATATGTGTAAGTGCACCTGTGTCGTGCAATGCTCGAGGAGTTCAGAAGAGGGTGTTGGATCCCCTGGAACTGGAGTTATGGATGGTTGTTAGCCACCATGTGAGTCCTGGGAATTGAACCTGGATTCTCTGCAAGAGCAGTCAGTGCTCTTAACTGCTGAGCCATCTCTCCAGCCTGCCCAGCCCCTATTATTATTTGTAAATGAATTGGGAAACATTCTTTAAATTTGCCAATTTTAATTTTTAGTATGGTAAGTACAAATAACTATTTCTACCTAAGACAAAGTTCTTTGGGGTCCTTGATAAATCCTGAGTATAAACAGATCCTGGGGACAAAACAAAAGCACATCCCTAAATCACTTTTACTCTCTTACCTGGTCTTAAACTCCCTTTGGGGTAGTTACTGTGATCATCAAGTAGAGTTCTGTGGAACTTGATTGGGCTGAGGATAAGAGGTACAAAGTTGGATTTGAAGTTGGGCGTCTTGCTTTCTACCTCTCCACTGTCCTGGTGACTAAATTCCGCTGAGAACCTTTGACACTCTCAGGGACTTCCCACTCACCTTGGTCAAGTCCACAGAATACTTGGTGCTCAGCTCTTCCAAGGTTAGTTTATGATCATCTTGTGGGGACAATACAGTCATCAAGGGAGAAGTGGTCATGACCCCAGGCCATTTGTGGGGGAGGAGGGTTTGTTCTTAAAGTAGAATGTGTAAAGCAGTGGGTATTTCAGGGCCTTTTGTTTCAGTGTCCTTACCATGACCACTTCCTTCTTCAGCTCCTCTAAATCTTTCTTCTTTTTCTTCCTTTTTGACAGTTTTTTGCTATTGGTGGGAGGCTTCATGTTAGGCTCTGGGCTTCGATTCTGTGCATGAGAGGCCATGGTCCTTTTTGCCTCTCCAGGCTCCATAGTGATTCCTAGATATAGCTGGTTCAGCTCAACTGGTGGGAAGAAAGCAAAGAAAGTAAGGGTGTGGGCATGAGAGGAAGGAGGGGTGAGCGAGATGGACGTGAAGGCAGCGTGGGGAGAGCAAGGGGAAGCTGAGGGGAGGAAAGGGAGAGGAGTCAGTACAGCAAAGGAGAGGGAGCGGGTGGAGGGCGAGAGTGGAGGAAGGCGTGCCAGGATGAGTGATAGGGTGAAGGAGAAGAGAAGAGTGGTGTGGAGGAGGACTAGGTACTTAAGTGATGAAGATGCAGGGGCTCAGCAGGTGGGAAGTGTAGCAGGAGCCCTCAGAGTGAGTTTCTGGGCAGGCCAGGTGCCCCCAGCCCTAGGCCTTGTGGGTGTCTTGGCAACATTCTAGGCTTGGCATCATAATGGGCTCCTGGGAGTTCTAACCAAGAATCCACAAGCTTGTCTTTGGTTTGAGGATTAACTGAGCAGGTTCTGCATAGAGAGAATTTAGGTCAGAGGGTAAAACAAGAACAAAGTCATGTATTCTTGTAACTTCTAAGTTCTGAGGCTTAGAAATACTTCAGACAGGCAACTTAAAACATAAAGAAGGATGCCGGGTGTGGTGTCGCACGCCTTTAATCCCAGCACTTGGGAGGCAGAGACAGGCGGATCTTTGTGAGTTCGAGGCCAGCCTGGTCTACATAGTGAGTTCTAGGACAGCTGGGGCTATAGGGAGAGCATGTCTCAAAAAGACAAAAAAAAAAACAAAACAAAAAAACATAAAGAAGGTATGTGTGTTTGGTAAGGCTCACTTCCTCCTTTTTTCCTTCCCTTCTTTTCTCTTCCCTTCCCTTTCCCTCCCCTCCCCTCCCCTCCCCTTCCCTCCCCTTCCCTTCCCTTCCCTTTTTCCCTTCCTTTCCTCTTCCGTTTTTAAATTTTATTTTGGTCTTTGGAGACAGGTTTTACTATGTAGTCCTGGCTGGCCTGGAACTTCCTCTGTACCGGCTGGCCTGGAACTTGTGATTCTCTTTGTCTCTGCCTCCCAAGTGCTGGGATTACAGGTATGGGTCACCATTCCAGTCGTAGTGAGGCTCATTAACAAATATTGAATTTAATCTTTTGATTTTGCATCAGCTTGCCAGATAAACTCTGGACTTTGGAAAGTGTACTGGATTAGAATGTTGTGTTCTTTTCTTACCAGTTGTGCGACTTTGTGCAGTTTGTCTTCCTTGTGCTTTCCTTTTCTGTGTAGAGGAAACCCTTCTACCCTGTACAAAAGCAAGAATAAGAATTAAAGTGATGTGCTCTATACCCTAGCTTCAACTGTGCATGACAACCCCATATAGGCTTCTGCAACTAAATGTGGGAGCTGCAAAAATCTGCAACAATAAAAGATTTCCGAATGTGTAACAACAAAAAATTAATTTGAAATCAAACATAACGAATCTCGTGTTTCTGGCAGATTCACCCGTGTTGCATCACGCCACATCACTGCAACCAAGTGCTGCCTGAGACATCTTGGCTCAGATCCAAGTGCTGCTGTTGTTTTTAATTAACATCTATGTATTTATTTAGTGTGTGTATGTGTGTGTGTGTGTGTGTGTATGTTTATGTTTATGTATGTGTGTTTTATGGGGTTGGGTGTTAGAGCACACGCCATGGAGCCTGTGTGGAGGTCAGAGGACAACTTGTAGGAATTAGTTCTCTCCTTCTACCACATGGGTTCCAGGGATCCAACTCAGATCCTCAGGCTTGGCAGCAAGTACGTTTACCCACTGGCCCATCTGCCAGTCCTTATTGTTTTCACAGAACGTACAAAGTTTGCTTTTCTTATAGAA